GTGTCGATACCTGCGTCAAAGGCAGCGACTGCAAGAATGGCAGGGGTACGGTTGATATCGCGTGCCCCAAGATGGAGTTCCAACGATCCATAGCGGACGGCGACCAAACCCCGATCCCCAACGCCACGTTCACGCTCAAGGACGCCGACGGCTTCTGGAAAGACATTGGAGACGAGTACGGCATCGAGGAGTCGTGGATCAAGTTCGGCAGGCGGCTCATGCGGGTCAACAACGGGTGCCAGTACGCAGGCGAACACGTCAACGAGTGCATGGACAGGCAGAACAACTTCTTCTATAACTACCCTCTCACCGACAAGGTCACAGTCTACAACCCCAAGGAGATCATCGGCGACTCCTTCCCCAAGGCAACCGACATGCTCGACCGGTTCAAGATCGTGCGGGCGTACGGAGATTGGGACGACCTGATGGAGCTGTCGGACCTGGTGGATGCCACGTCGCTGCCGGGCTACTCGACGGAGGAGGCCGTCTCGAGCATGGAGAAGATCGTCGAGAAGGCCGGCGAGATCGAGAAGAAGCAGCGCGAGGAGTTCATCCTCAATTTCATCACTGGGCTGCTCTTCTGGATCCCCTTCGTGGGCGAGGCCGTCGGGGCCGTGGGAATGACGACGGCCCGCTCTCTGCTCCGGCTCATCGGTGCTACAGGCGACGCGGGCGTGGCCGTCTACAACATCGTCAACGACCCCGAGAACGCCTTCATGGCCGTCTTCAGCTACCTAGCGGGCGCCGGCCTGGGCCGCGCCGGCTTCAGAAACGCGGCCAACTCCCGACGAGGCCTGACCTCGTCCGAGTACGACAGCCTCGGAGGCGTAAAGACAAAACTGGACTTGGTTCAGAGTATCCGCGGCGGCATTTGCCCCAGATAAATAACTTGCAGCCGACAAAGAATAGTTCAAGCAGAAAATGTAAATATTTTTCTATCTAATATTGAAAGATACCCATATACCAGTGTTTATACTAGTGTTTATGTGTCTCTCGGCTTTACTTTTGTGTCTGTCGTGGGGTCCGTAGTAGGACCCCTATTATGGGCCACTCCCTTTTAGATGTGAGATTCAACTCGCATAGATTTTGATGCTTATTAGTAGTAGCAATACGCTGGCAATTGGCTTTGGACGGCTACATGTAAAATTATCAAGCGATATTCCTTGAGCGTAACACCTACCTGGACTTTACCATGCTCGTAAATATTGCACTATATAAACAAGTATACAAGTGGGCAAATATAGGCAAATATAGCTCTGAGAAATATAGGGATGCACAAGTGAAAACTCGACTCTATCAGGTACCAATGGCGCCGTAAAATGTATCCATCATGCTAGGCCAATATGTTCGTAAACCAACGTCACATTCAGCGATTCTCGTATATATTAATCAAGCGAAAATCAGAAATGCACGGCAGAGTAGAGGATTGGCGTGACTAAAAGCCGCAGCTAAGCCTTCCGGCACTGCAGGTCTCTCTTTAACCGAATCAAAGCCCACTCGTAGATTGACAATTAAGACATAGGTGCAATTTTCTGCAAGGGCCTCCAATGGTTAATATAGCTGGTACGTCTAGAACTAAGTCGCCATCATAGCTTAGATGGCTGTTTTCTTTCGCTGGATCTATAAACCAACGTTACATTCAAAACTACAATACGACGTCAGAGCGCCAACTACGAGATATCCCTTCTGTTATGACAGCTAGACTGCGAGGGAGTACCGAAACAAGGGTTCCACGGAGCCTGAACCGCCTTATTAGGCTCTGGATATCTGCAGGAGGTCACTTGCATATAGCAGGCACAGCAGGCATGGTATGCACACTGCCGAAAGTCCCAGATTATCTAGATGTAACCGTTCCCAATAGTTTATATTAGGTAGGTACCCTCTTGAGACTTGCGTCTATAGCATGCTATTGACCTCACGATCTACTTTTGAGCATCGTTGGCCATGATGCATTTGCACCAGTCGCTGCTGGGGCTCTACCTTGGAATCAACGCACTCGCCGCCGCCGCATTGCTCTCTGAACCCGGCGAGGTCGCTATCATACCATCGTGGGACATCCAATCAACGGAACGAGTCGGGTCGGATCTTGCAGCACTATCCCGACCTGGTGTAGACACGAAAACATGGCACGAGATCGACAGCTCCCGCTGTACTCTCATGGGCTGTCTAATACAAGCTGGCGTGTACCGCGAGAGTGGGCTCTTCTTCTCAAATGCACTTCAGAGCTTCAATTCCAGTCAATTCAAAGTTCCTTGGATATATCGAAAAGAATTCACTCTTGAGCCTAGCCCGGGAAAGCGCTATTTCCATCTGCAGACTCATGGAATTACCTCGAGCGCCGATATCTACGTGAACGGCCAGGAGGTCGTGACCAGAAAGTCGCAGGCGGGTGCTTATGTCGGAAATACCTTCGGCATTACCAAAATAGCAAATAACACGAATGCGCTTGTAATTCAAGTCTATCCGACTGACTATAACTATGACTTTGGCGTATTTGAGCCCCTTAAACTCGCAGTTGTAATGGGCAATAGCTGATTTTGAATTCTAGCTTGGCTTTGTAGACTGGAACCCATACCCTCCGGATAATGGCACTGTTCGTAGATCCCAATATTCTTATAGTGCTACTTACTTATCAATCGATACTCACATCTTCATTAGGGGGTATGGCGGAACGTAGAAATCAAACAGACGGGTCCTGTCTCGTTGACTCCCCTGCGAGTAACTACACAGGCCAGCTTGCCAATCGGCCATTCTAGCGCACTCGTAAATTTGAAGACCACAGCTACAAATCTAGAGGATCGGGAAGCTACTGTTGAGTTAACAGGCAGCATCTCCCTAGAAGGCGCAAGCGAAACGTATAAATTGAACCAGACTATCACGCTGCCCCCATTGGGATCTGCCGAGGTGGTCTTGTCGACAGCATTAAACGAACCGGCAATCTGGTGGCCCAAGCAGTGGGGAAGCCAGCCATTATACGCGGCACAGCTATCTGCGTCTATAGACGGATCTATTTCTGACAGGATAGAGCGAACATTTGGGGTCCGTCAAGTAACGGCGGAGCTTAATGCGAACAATGACACTATATTTTTCGTCAACGGTTACCCGTTCCAAGTCGTTGGCTCTGGTTATTCTGCGGATATCTTCTTACGATGGGATAGCGCCAAGTTCACTACACAAGCCAAGCTGATGCTCGACTTGGGTCACAACACAGTAAGATTGGAAGGCAAGAATGAGCAGCCGGAGCTATACGAGATCACGGATCGACTAGGTTTAATGGTTCTCCCTGGCTGGGAGTGCTGCGATAAATGGGAGGCTTGGACGTACAACGAAGACCTAGCCGTCAAGTCAGAGTGGACAGACGCCGACTACACTATAGCGAATAAGAGCATGTACCACGAGGCTCTTATGCAGCAGAGTCATCCGAGCGTGTTGGGGTATCTAGTCGGAAGCGATTACTGGCCTGACGACAAAGCAGCGGGAGCGTATTATTATTCACTCGAAGCGGCGGACTGGCAGGCGCCCATCATTGCTTCAGCTTCGGAGAAGGGCTATCCCAAGATTCTGGGGCCGTCGGGATTGAAAATGGCGGGACCTTACGACTGTAAGTGATAATTCTGATCCTACCCCTTTAACCTATCCCCAGTGTTATCATGCCTAAGATATGCTTGAACCACTTGAGACTTACTTATACGTCTGATCGCTCACCACTTTTATTACAGGGGTACCGCCGAATTACTGGTATGACGTCGAACCATCAGAAGACCGCCTCGGAGCTGCTTTTGGATTTGGATCTGAGCTAGGCAGCGGCGTTGGGACACCGGAGATCAGCAGCCTAAAGAAGTTTTTATCAAAGGCAGATCTAGATGACTTGTGGAAGAGCCCAAGCAAGGGATTGTACCACATGTCCACGAGCGTATCGTCATTCTACGACCGAAAGATCTATAACACTGCTCTCTGGAACCGCTACGGAGCACCTACTTCGTTAGAGGATTATTTGCTCAAAGCTCAGATGCAGGATTACGAGGCTACAAAGTCCCAGTTCGAGGGCTTTGCGTCCCTGTGGAGTGCCGATAGACCAGCGACGGGACTTATCTACTGGATGCTGAACAATGCATGGCCAAGCTTGCATTGGAACTTATTCGACTACTACCTGCACCCGGCTGGATCCTATTTCGGAGCAAAGGCTGGGTCTAGGATAGAGCACGTAGCCTACGACTATAATGGAAAGCTCGTGTACTTGATCAACCGCTCGTTAGATCGAAAGGGGTCAAGGACAGTAGCTGTTGATATCATCGACAAGAACGGCAAAACAATTCATAATAGCCAAGAATATTTCGATACCGTACCCAATAACAGCACAGCTATTATAGACCTCACAGAGGCGCTTAAATCGGTGAAGGACATTGCATTCTTGCGGCTCGTCCTTTCGGATGATAAGAATGCTACATTGAGTAGGAATGTGTACTGGCTAGCAAGCACCACCGACACTTTGGATTGGGAAAACTCTGACTGGTTTTACACGCCAGTCACCAAGTATGCCAATTACAAAGCTTTGAGCAGCTTAGGACCTGCTGAACTCTCTGTCACAACTACGGCGACGTCGAAGCGGAGTTACTCCAAAGCAGGAGGACTTGGAGTGGTACTCGAAAACCACTCTTCTGTACCTGCATTTTTCATCAGGCTCAACCTTGTAAACGAAGAGGGAGAGGACGTCCTGCCGGTGTTTTGGTCTGATAACTATGTCACGCTATGGCCTCACGAGAAGCTCGAGCTTCAGGTCGAAGGTGAGGGCGCTGCTTATGTACAGGTTACCGGGAAGAATATCCAGAAGGCTCAGATATACTTGCATGGCTAGGGGGTTTGAGATTGCGTAGAAAATAGGCAGTTGATCATATAGCCATTGTATTTAATATAGTTACTGGCAGGATAGATATATCATGATTGCTAATCTATGCCAAAACCAAAAGGCCCCTTTTCAGGCACACATCCCAATAGACTATAGGCTAGGCTAAGCAATTGTATGCAAAAAAGACCTCACACTAGAGATTTACGATAACTGGTATACACCATGCTAGCTCTAAAGCCTGTCTCCAAACACACCGCGCACGACGCAACTAACCTAGCTTCACCGTCGTCGTATTACGTCACTTCCAGCCCCAGAACTCGCATGGACCCCATATCGTCCTCTCGATAACATCTCGCCGCGGGTGAAACCAGACCCCCGAATCGTCGGGCTCGTCCTCGTCGCAGAAAGCAAGCACGTACCCGGCCTTCTTGACAAGCTCCCGCGACTCGAAACACACATGCGCGAGCGGCATGCGCAAGTGACTCCTCTCGATCAACTGCATCTTGAGCCCCCTCGAGGCGTACACCAGCGCGTTGAAGACGCGCGTCTCCGGGAGGGCGTACTCCCATATGATCTCCCGCAGCTCCGCGGGCAAGTCTGCAAACGTTCTTGCCGGCTTGCGGCTTGTCACTGCTACGTCTTGGGGCCGGGGGTGTGATTGGTTGCTGCTTAAACGGACACCGTGCCCCGGAACTTGCCGGCTGGGATCGCTGTTGTGGGTATACGATCTTGAGGCTGACGAACCATCCATGTTTGTTTTTTCTCTTGAAGATTTCTTTTTCGAGGTATTTTGCTAAGGGCGAGAAACGTGAGATGAGAAGGTCAGCATGTGAGACAGACTTGTTGGCGGCGCATACGGAATTATATATTGGTACTACCCTGGGCGCTCCTCGATAGTATGAGATGCGCAATTAATTACATACTTATTTGTGTATCCGTGCGTATCTTGGGTAGGTATATCGTTTTACATATGCAAGTTCCCTCTGAGATCTACCCCGCATATTGCAGTCGATTGTCCGCTGCATTGCAAATGAATTACTTGGACGATATCTTATGAATCACTTGACCTCCAGCCCGACCAACCCTGTTTATTTCCGACCAATATATCACATCAGTAGGCTATAGGCTTGCTACTGTCCATCGTCTTGATAGATTAGTCTTAAGTACCGAGTCAGCAATCAACTGTTCATAAATCAGCTGCTGGGTAACTCCTAGGGCCGGATGTTTTGACTTAACTTACAACAAGGCAATCGTGTTTAAATCAGGACTTGAGGATTTCCTAGCCCAGCTCACAATGGAAATTATACAGATAAACTCATAGAAAGGGGTATCGCTGAAGTTAATGCTATATTAAAAATCCATCACTAGTATCCAGAACAAGGCACAAGTAAAAGAGAATCTATAGTATAGAGAAAAAGGAAAAAGGCAAAAGAACAGGCGGAGTGAGAATTTTTGTAAAGGAAAGGCGTCGAAAACGCTTCATCATCTACCGCATAAATGGCATATAGCTCTCTTACTTCCCAAGTATGTCGATCACTGAAGATATCTTAAAGACATAGCCAGAACACAGCAACCCAGTTCACGAATAGCTACCCGATATGGGTATCGTCATGATCCCAATGGGAACAGTCTCTTGCCAATATTATGACAACCCTAGCTTTCAGCTTTTATCATTGATGTGGTCCTGCAGGGCTGCTAGAAACGGCAGTCAACTCGCAGCTAGTATTTTCAGCTGATTGAAAGAGCTCCCTTTTGGATACAGATCTGCAATCTGGCTAGATACCTAGGTATATATTATAATGAAGTCCTGCATGGCAGGCTCGATGGCAGCTACTATGCCACTTATTGACCAGCATGACATCACGGTCTTCATCAAAGCGGATCAAGTAGGACTTAGCTGAATGTTCCTATTTCGACCTTGCTGATTTCCAAATTATCAAAATATTGATGTAGATCAAATTTTAACTCCCGATGTAACAACTAATGGTAGTGTTCAAGAGTAAGAACCGTGTTGTCGCCCCTTTGAATTTTTTTATAGCGGTGCTGCGCAAGGTCGGACCAACCGAACGTATACCTACTCGAAGAGAGGATATGGGAAATAACGGGACTCATGGCTCCCATTGTTTAAACGTAGAATCATCCTGGACGTTGAAGTGGATTATCCGTCTATGTCATCACATCTTAGACTGACTCTAGAAACACATATTCGCCTACTATACTTAGGTAGACGTCGAAACCATGAAGCTCACTCTGCAAAACCTCAGCGCCCTCCTACTAGCCTCCCTACCCCTGAGCACAGCTATCCTTCCCGTATAACTATGTCCCAGCTGCCCCAAGCCAAAGCACTGCGACAACCAAGGCTGGGACTGGGCATACTACAGCAACCCCCTGCACAACGATGGTGAGAACTACCCCGGGTTCCGCGCGGACCTCTACAAGACCCGCAACCCAGTCTATTCCGGCGTAACGCCCTGGATCGGAGGCCGTCTCGGCTACACGGACGCCAACCCCGATACCAGTACCTTTTACGGCTCCCCTGTCGAGCTCAACAGCACGTACTTCGCCCTGAACCACCACGCATACCTGCATGCCTGCGAGGGCGGCACCTGGCAATTTGATATCACATCTGTCGACGACGTCGCCTTCGCCTGGATCGGCGAGACAGCAGTCTCCGGGTGGACTGGCGCGAATGCTGACGCGAAGGCTGCATGGACGTTTGTGGGCAATGGTAACAACCACTGCGGCTCTGCCAGTGTCAGGAAGGACCTCGAGGGCAACCGTTTCCACCACTTGCGTTTCGTCTTCGCGAATGGTCGGTGGGGCGGCCTCTTTAACCTTACTGTTACGAGTCCAAGCGGTATCATCATGCACCGGTCCGGCCGAGACAGCGATTGGATCGTCCGGTATTCATGCGGCTTCGACACGTCAGCCTCCCGCTTTCCCGACTTTGGGTCGGAGTCGTGAATTCGTTTGGGGAGAGAAGGGGATGGTATAGAGGTTCTAGCAATTTCACAAAAGCAAGACTTCTATAGGTGATGGAGTGTTCCTAAAGAGAGTGGCTTAACCTATTCGAATCTCGGGTCGACGTTATTATAGGGCTACGTTCTTTTCTGTATCTACTTTGATAGGATCGTAACGGGTAACAATTCTATGAACATAAAATCTAACAGCATGTATATCTGTGAAACCTTAGCACTTTCTTGCGGCTCTTCAAGTTTAACGTGCTAAATTACGGCATAATCACCTTACGGCGCAAGGTGTAGTCAGTGAATGAATAGATTGGGTCACAGGTTTATTAAAATGAATACGCTATGATTTCACATGCTCGCGCAGTAAATCTAATGCCAGCCTAAAAGACTTCATTGCTATGATGACAGTCGTAGTTAGGGAATAGTCAACGCTCCATTACAACCGCTATAGCTTTATGTAACGCTTCAAGTGAGGACGAACTTCCGAGTATCTACGCTCTCATTTTGGAGCAGTGAAAATACGTCTAGGTCGTATAGGAAACAGTCCCCGATCAGTTCGTAAGTGTCATCACCCCTAGCTCTCAATACAAACGGGTACTTGCCACCAGGAATAAAGACCAAGTCGTCACCCTCTCTCGCATGTGGTGGTGCAAGACCCATCGAGCCTTCGTCGGTGATGAAGAATTTGCGCCCGTAGGAAGTCATTTCCATCTGGCGAGCATACTTTGTCAAAAGCCAGTTGCTAGATCTGACCTCCGTGCGTGTCGAGTTGGCTTCTCCCAGCACACCCGCACCGTACTGCCCATACCACGCGTGGAACTCATCTGCCGACGGCGATACCGGCGGTCTTGATCCTCGAATATACGGGGTCTCGTCTTTTTCAATTAGCAAATCTGTACGATCGTCCCCAATGAGCGTATCAGCAAAGGCATCAATGATAGCCTGTGGAAATCTCTTATAACTCAGGCTCAAAGCGAGAGCCTCCCATTCGGACAAGATGGAATTAAACACTTCGCCGCCAACAGCAACGCTTGCTCCCAGCTCGCTTCCTATTTTCTCGACTTTCTCGATGAAACGTCCGTAGATCGCTAGAGCGCCATCGAGTCGAAATTCAAACCCCGGGAACACCAGGGTTGGATAATGAATGGAATATATCGCCGAGGCGCTGAATATCCTTGGTAAAGTACCTATGGGATTGACTATGCTGTAGTCAGGAACCCATGACGGAAGGCCATCGATGCATTTCTTCTGCGATCCTAGCCAGTGAAGGATCTCGAGAGTCTGGCTTGCTTCGATGACCTTCTGCGTGAAGTTCCGGAAAAGATGGACAAGGTCTTGCTTGTAGTCAATAGGAATATCAAATCGTATACCTGTATCCAGTATCAGGGCGCTAAATATCTTATCCCTAGGGTCGTGAATCCGACCATGCCGGTTCCAGAGGAATACATCCCTCAATGGCACAAGATTACCGCGAGAGAGTTCCCAAAGGTGACGCAAATGCGTCCGGCCATCTGGTCCTTCTAACGGATGATAGTAGTCCCCAGTCCCTAAGAAGTCGGTACATTTCATCAAGTCCGGCCATTCGGCCTGATGACGGCCACATAGGATAATAGCCTTATTGGTTAAAGCGAGCTCCTGAGCGGACTGTGTTCTATAAAACCACGACCTGTGAGATAGGCTATGAAAGGCATCCTGCGTTTCTCCCCGATATCGACACCAATTGATATGCCTATGTTCGCGACACCTATCGAGATGTTCAAACACAAGGTGTGAGTTATTCTTAGCATTTCCAATCCACGCAAGGAGGCCTGTCGCGCCCTGGTATATGTCCTTTAGATAAGAGGGCTGAGCATTTCTCGCTGCCTCATCAGTATTCTGATACGTTTTACTCAGATTCTGGTTGATGCAGATAGCATCCAGCCAAAGTAATCTCGGTTGATCTTTCGATCGGACTCTGCGTAGTGCTACATAAGCCTCGGATGGGGCATCAAAAGTCTGGCCGTTTAGAGATATAGGTACTCGTGGCCCCGTTGAGCTTTGCCAGTCGCACGAGAGAATGTCATATTGGTGATTTTCGTTGCTGTTCACATGCAAGAGCTTGCATCTTATTGGATCCTGAGGAAGAGACGGTTCAAGTTCCAGAAGCCTTATGGCGTCATCTCGTAGAGGATCATAGTGGAACTGGGCTCCAGTTTCCTCAACCCAAGGTATTATTTCATCAGAGAAGCTAGCGAGGTGGTTACTTGTCGACTTTGCTGCCGCCATCCCGAATGTCCTTCTTCTCTGATCTTATTTGACAAAGGCAATCTTAGAGCGGGTACGAGGTGTTGCTAAAGTTTCGGTTCCGATTTTAATGACGAATTACTCTTATGAATATGTGTCTATTGGTTCGTATTGCCGTGGGAAGGTGATCGTTTTAAGTTCATCCTGCACCCGGCTTCTATCAGAAACGTGACAAATGTTTGTCATTTTGTAATAATCATTGCGACTGTGTTTAATGTCTTTGTAACCTTGGCTGCTTGTGAGTAATGAGCGGGGAAGATAGCCTGACCCCTGAGCCTCCTGAGAACTTTCACGTGACAATCGACGTTTCACCTTGAGTAAATCATTCATCTGAATTGTAGTTATTGTAATTATTGTAATTATGATCTATCAGACGGTCTGATTCAGACCTATCTGGTATGTAGAAATTTGTTGCAGCCCATTTGTGTGTTGTACAGCTATGGAGATGCTGCTGCCATAACGCCCCCTTTAGTGATATGTATAAGTGAAAACTACCACCGAATGCCTAGCATCTTTTGTATGCACCAACGCCCCGTTTATCTATGCAATTCCGCTTCCTTTCTATCCATGTCTCTATGCCTGATGTCTAAAGTGAGGAGGCATGCCTGACTCAAATTAATCACAGGCTTTTTACCAATACCCAATCCGTCTGAATACAAGATCCGGTAGCGAATTCCACAGCGCCTACCTTCGAGTACCCCAGCCTCTGGTAGAGTCGTTGTGCGCTCTTGTTGTTCTCCCAGACGGTAAGCCATAGCTGCTCGAAGCCTTCAGACCTGGCCTTGTTCTCGACGACAGCGATAAGTTTGCTCCCGATACCCTTGCCATGAGCCGTGGTATCTACGTAAAGCCTCCGCAGCTCGGCGTGTGAGGAGGGATCTCCCTTTAAGGATGAATCCGTAAGGCCGCGAACAAGCTGCACAAATCCTAAAATAGAGCCCGTTTCATCACGGGCGACAAACGTGCTGATATTGTTCTCATGTGAGCTTATGATATCCGCCTCGATAGCTTCTGACGAGTACGTCTCTGCTAAAAAGTTTGCCAAGTCGTTTTCTGGGACGGAAAACCCGAAGGCTGCGGTGAAAGTGTTGGCACCGATCAGAGCTATTGCTGCTGCATCAGACGCCAGTGCGTCGCCGATGGTCACCTCGCATGTCTGCTTCACCTGAACCTCGGTGGTGGTAACGACTGAAGCCATTTTCGTGGACATCATGAGAATGCAAGTCGTGGCGAATGATATGAACTGCAAAAAAGGAAAAGGAAAACGCAGTTATAGTGAGCCTGTAGATTTGACCAAAATACGAGTTGAAAAGGACGCAGACTGTCCTAACCTAGGGGCATCTTATATTGAACCGATCCAACTTAGCTTCGTTTGGTGGTGTAGGGTGTCCGGTTTTCGGGACTTCTGAGGTTCCATGCTGGCTAAGGTACCTATCTATGCCATACGTATGATATTTTCGCGCCCTGCGACTTGTCAATATGACCTAATTCGGAAAAACAAAGCCACGCCTGGATTCCCTGTCTGCCTGTGTGGATGGTAGTAAACTTCTTTCTAGAACAGCCATGAAAAATTCCAACATGACTCAACGGTACAATAACTCTTATGCTAATATTATGTGCATATTGACCGACATATTTTAGGACAGAAAGTCTGCTGCGCCTCGTGTAAACACTGCCCAATGTTTGCCCGTCTTACAAAATCACCTTGGTGGGTGCATATGACCTTAACTGGAAGCTTACAGGCTAATCGAGGTACCTCGTATAGAGGGGTCGTACACGTGATATTGCGTTTGTACCTTAAGTACCTAACGTCGCACTTTAACACCGATGTTGCGCAGCCTTCACGTACAGTCTTTCGAGCTCCTTTTCGCATCCACCACTGCGAAAGAAACGGTGGAGCTACCAATTGTAATGGTGTGTCATATTATCCTTATTATTGTTGTATTATGAAGTATCTAGGAGGAATATCTAATATCTGTAAGATGTGTATACTTATGTGTACACTAAGTGGGTCCAATGACCTTAGGTCATGTGACAATAGGGCTGGCAATCCTCGAACTGAGAGACCCCCCTAGTAACTCCTTAAAGTCTTGGCGAGCCCTCTAATACCGGCTTCTTCGCGGGAGCTAAGCACAGAATGTTTCTTCGGTAAACCCGATGCTGCTGGTCAATTCTTCGAGTTTGGCTTTCGGGTTAACATTCTCAAAATTTACCCTCGGTACGGTGGTCGGAATTATTACGCCGTATTCAAGACTCATTATCGACATAAAGACACTTGCTAAACTAGCATATCCTCGAACATGGCCGTCATTGGGCTTGATACTACCAATACATAGCTCTAATAGTATCTCCGTCTCGAATAGCGCCAAGACAGTTTACTACCAACGCCTTCTCCACGACTATATCAACTTGCTCAATCATCATATGCGCGGGATATGCCATCCGGGCTAAGCATATGCATGGTAACTAGCCGTTAAGTTCGGATGAAGTATGACATTTACTCCCCGAAGATCGAAAACCTAAGAAACTCTGTTAGCAGTCATAACCCCGCCGCCCTCATAGGTTGACTGGACCTGATAGTCGTTTGTCATACTCCCTAACATAATACCCCGTTGCTGACCCCGCTATCCTTTCCATTCCAGCTAGTAGCGGTTAAGGTCCGTATAAGTCCAGAGGATCTCGAATTTTGCCAGTACATCAACTCACCGTTTTCAAGAGCCTCATATCACTTCTAATAGCAGCCTCTTGGAGGGGTCAGCTGCTCATTCACAGATGCATCGTCGCATGAAACCCACATTTTAAAGTGATTTCCTTACGGCTCAACCGAATCTTATCCAACAAGATCAAGCACGGTATTCGTGATATGACGTGCAGCGGGATATGCCCGTTCTCACTGCAGCTGCAGTCATCTTTTCAGGTCTTGGCTTGAACAGCTGCGCTGCGGTCTTATGCTTCGATAGTAGAGTAAGGTAAGTAAGAAGCAACAACTAAATGATGATAATTTAGCAGAAATGGACAAGGACTATGAAAGCATAGGGGTCTTGGTTCCTAACTACCTACCCCATAACTACGTCCTAGGGAACTGTGACACAACTTTTGGTAACGACCTATCAGAGTAATATCGCTTCTTATCATGCATAGTGGATATGGCGTGTATCTCCTGAAGTGCCAATAAGTTACACTTGTCCTAATTAAAGCGTAACAAAAGGCCGATTTGTTGAATAAAGTATGTAGTATCTACCACATATCCCGTATCATAATCAAGTGTAGTCTGCACTTTAAGAGATGCAACTGGTGAGACAAAAGCAATTAAACCGCCGAAGATGGTGGGCTCGGAGATGGCTATGTAGCTGGCAAATCCCGTTCTAAGACGATCTATCCAGATGGTATCTGAAAAGACCCGAAAGATAATATAGTGGCCCAGAAGCAAAATTTGGAAGCATGCAGATACCGATGCCAAAAAGCAATGAACTTCACTGTCTAGAAGCAATTTTATATCGTTTCCTTTGACCGTATCTTCGGATTACTTACTATACTTCCAGGACTTCATTGATAATCTTCGGCAGATGCTGTCAATACGCCTTGAGTCTGCCAGTCGCAATGAAGATAGTATTGGCATTACACGGTATCGGCTCCTCCGCAGAGATTGTTAAGGACCAACTAGTTCCACTGACAAGAGAGCTAAGCCCTAGATACGAATTTGTCTACTTGGATGGAGCGGTCGAAAGAGAAAGGGGCCCGGGTGAGTTCGATGATCGATATGTCGGGTTCTATGAGTTCTCCTTTGCCAATACGCCATTAGGAATAGCGTCCTATTACCTAGGGCCATTTTATTCATATACCACGGGCTACATGACGGCTGAGATTCGAGAAGCCCTCGATAACCTCGATCAATTTGTGAGAGAACATGGCCCCTTTCACGGAGTGTTTAGCTTCAGCCAAGGTGCCTCCATGGCTGTTTCATATTTACTCGATTGCCAAGCCCATGAGTCTGGGACAAAGCTACCCTTTGAGTTCGCGGTTTTATTCTCTTCGGTATCGGCTTTCTCGCCTAGTAAGACATGCTACGGATCCATCGTGGAACATCTTCTTGGCCGAGACTTTCGGGCAATTCAGGCGTTTCCCGAGGCAGAATTCAACGAACTTACTAAATCCGAGCAAATCTTCGCCGAAAACTTAGCTCCAATGTTCACGGGAGCCAAAAAGATGGGCTCATTTACAGAATCGATCAACTTTTTCAAACAGCGAAACCAAGAAGCTGTCCCTCGAGTTTTACATCACTCTTTAACTCAAGACCGCATCACAATCCCAACGGTCTACGTCAACGGAAAAGGAGATCCCCCCGCAATGAGTGCGCAGTCAAGATTGGTATGTGGTCTGTGCGACCAATCCTTAGCTCGCGTACATCATCATTCAGGGGGTCATGGTGTACCTACAGAGCTCTTCGACGTGAAAACTCTTATAAAAATGATAGATCGGGCTAGTATAGAGGGAGCAGACCGCCATGTGCTACACCAAGACCCGACGGGAATCCCGCAGCGTTAATCTTCGTAGCTATCTCCGACGTATCTCGTACGAAGTTGAAGAGCTCAGGGGAATAGCATACCAAGAACAACCAGCCCAGATATAATCCATACCATCAATAGGGTGTCCAAAACACAACGAAGCACATACGACGAAATGACAACGCTGCCCTTCCTGGACTCTTTCGTAAAGTGGACCTATAAGAAATACAATCCTGCGTTCCAAGCAACGCAGAAGTCGAAAAGGGACGTGATCGTATCAGGGGGGCGGTTAATACAAGCAAACTCTATTGTTATCCCAATTTTCCAAGCAAATCATCAGATCAAAGATTATTGGGGAAACACACACGCGCTGAATCCCGACTGTTGGTCAGACAAGGCGGCAAACAAGAAGAGTCATCGACTAACCTCCACTCCCCTCGGAGCGGGACCCCGCGGATGTATTGGATACAACGTAGCCCTTCTCGAGACCAAACTGACAATTACTAATTTGGACTGGAGATACTATTCCGAAGATGTCGTCAAGGAGCCGGTAGAATATGGCCTAGGATTCATCTTGATTCGTCTTCTGAACTATTATATTACCCCGAGCACGCAAGAGAACCAGATGACCTGAAAATTCAAAAACACCAAGAGCCACCAATAGTTTAAACGGCTCGAACAGTGCGATTGGGAACCAAAATTCACGCTCAAAGATAATGCAAATCAGAAAATTCCAGCTCTTCATTCCTTGCACAGTCTCATGAATCGATACACTGTTGCATTAGCCACCTCCTTGAAGAATTTTTTTTTTATCCATGTACTACAGTAACGTGATTCTATCGCGTTGATACATACAAGTAATGATTACCATTTGCCACAGCCTTCTCTGGAGTTTCAGCTCATTATCAACTCGAGACCAGAGTCTTGCTTACCTAAGACCCCCGGAGGCAGGTTCTCTTTTGGGAAATTTCCTAATCAGGATAGATTCGTAAAACGGGACCCCCTATTCACCTATGCGAGGTTAATCGTCTAGGCAGCAATCCATATAAGCTGTCTCGATAAACTGACTGAGATGTTGTGCTTTTTGTATTGAAACCCTTTTTTAGTACGGAAAATGTTGATCTTATGAGTCCTAGGATAAAATAAGGGGTGATACAATGCACTCGACTTCGTATCAGACGCGACTCGAGTATTCACGATCATTCCTACATACCTCATCACATACAGGCTGCAGCCACTCTGTCAGTCACAAATATATCTGTAAGATGCCCCTCTCCCGTACTAACCTGAGCCTATTACATACCATCACTTCGAATCCTTTCTTGCCTATCCATCGATCCTACGTAGATGCGGCCCCGATGCGACCCGAGAAATTGGATGATGGCGAATACAACTAAAAGCAGGATGCCAGAATTGAGGAAGCCGAGAGTTCTGATGGTCTTATTGTGCGGTCAAATTATCTCCTCGCCCTGTTTATGGGAATACTGTCAAGGGGTGAGAGTATAAATCCTTCGAAACATGGAGAACTATGAACCTAGGTGAGATATAATCCACGGTGTAGGTTGGAGCCCCTTTTATTGGGTGTTATGGCATTCTAATGATCTAGAACTTTCCACAGTTTCAAAATACGACCCTAACTTGCGATTCAAACTTGGATATTATGCTAACGTGTCGATAGTGGCTTCTTGTCGCTGTCTCCCTGCTTGCCTTATTCCTAATATACACATTCGACATAATCGACAGATTCACATTCCCCCGTGGTACAACGCCTACAGATATTTCTCGAACAAGGGTCCGACAATAGTGCCAAATCTTCGTAGTAGACTTGAGTAAAGAGATATCAGTCTTAAGAAAACTACCGGAAATTGTTATCCACGGTTATATTTGAAATTATATTCCAGCTTATTGTGATGTGTTGATACGTAAACGATAATTCCCCCTTTATTGTCAAGTAAATTAATTTTGAGGCATGTGTATACAAACGAGCCTACTTCAGATATGAGGATAGAAGCTGGGCTAAGTTAATTCCTAGTAGTCAATGTAAGGCTAAACCTACCGAACCAATCTGCATATATCCTTGACTGTACTAGCCACTCAAACGTTAGAAATCACCATTGACATGGAAGTTTCCGGTTTGATGTTCGTCGAGATCTTCAGTACTCTTCCCTGACGCTATCAGCAAGTCAACATCGGCTGTAGTTGCTGCAGCGGAGATGATGCACGTGTGGACATCCGTACGATTGTGTTTGTTTCTAGCTTGCCTATAATAAAAAAGATATCTTACTAAATTGATGCAAGAATTATTATATGCATGCAAGAGTAGCCGAGATAGTTTTCGTACTAGGTACATGTAAGAAGTCTTATATTGATCAGGAGAGCTTCTGTGCCTATAATGAATCTGCCTAGGGAAATCTTCATCTGAGTTTGTTTCAATAATTTCATTCCGCCGTCCATGAAATGGCATGTTTTGAGTCACTTTCCAGTATCTACTTGCTTGAATAAGAAAGAATACCACGCCATTAAGTGCTTCTTATGCATAGATGCTACGTTAGAAGGCCTTACCTGGCACTGCCAAGATATGCAGAACAGAACGCCTGCAGGCAGTGACAGGTCCATAGGTAGTTTACCACCTAGGTAGACATAAGGCTGGGTTTCCACTTCCAACCTTATCATGCCACGCAAAAGAATAGAGGGTCCAGACCAGGCAACATCGTTGGGCAAAGCATCCGGATTGCCAGTACATGCCGACGAAATAGGGAAACTTACTTGCGTAGCCAAGATAAATTCATTCCGAGCTCTGAAATTCGTCTACTAGCTGCTGAATGGTATTGGTTCTCAGCCCATTATGATAATCGTATGTTGGCATCGTGAACGAATCATATCACTAGAAGTAGTATGAGTTACAAGAAGATACTACGAGTTTAACATCCAATAATAGAGGAGGCAAAAATGGAGGTTTTCTAGATAGTTCTGGATCAATCTTGCCAAGTAGTTCCTGGGTAAGGGTCCTCAGATCTTCAACTGTGCGTAATCATGATAGAGTTACATCGGGCTGTTGGATTTAGATTGGGGGTTGTAATGGTTATACCCAGCGACGAGCCCTTACAACAAATATCTAGGTATGGAGAGGTATGGTAATATTCATGAAAATTCCCATTCTATATCGTAAGCTATCCTATGTTCGTAGAGAGTTGCAACCGAACAGTCACTCCGGGAGGTATGAATACCTAAGTGTAGATAATTAAGTTGTAAACTCCGCAGAGCGATGTGACGGCGCAATGCACAACATGAAGTATTACCTTGAGACTATTCTCCGGGGCTATCTAGTAAATCTGACGATTGCTGCATTTAATCCCTACCCTAGGTACAAAAGTGACTACAAAGGTACCTAGAGAGGAACCGGCAAGATTGGTGATAACTAGACACATATTCAGAACCCAACAAGCTGTATAGGTTGAGCAAAGCTTTTCTTAGTTAATTCTAAACATCACTGGATCCTCTATCATGTAGAATATATGTAGAATATATCCTCATTTTTATCTTGTCGATTCTATTCTTGCCCTATGGTAAGCTCGTAAGAAGAAGCTCTGAGATAGGAGTATCGGCAATCGCCTAACAATTAAATCAGTCGGCTTAGGGGGGAGTGGACGCACAAGGCCCTCATCCCTTATCATGCAGCCTCCGTTGGATTGTGCTACGTGAATATGCAAATCCCGAGGCGGTTTCGGCATCTGACGTGACCACTAAAAGTGTCTATGGCGTGTGAGGCACTTGGCATCTTCATTCGTATAGGTCACTATTATCGTAGATCTATAATTCCCACTACCGAGGATTAGAAAATATTATTAAATCTAATAATTCCTACGACTATTACTTTTATAAGTTGCCAGCAATAAAACCCGAGGTCCTATTATTATTATTTAATCTTCTTCATATTACTTGCTTAGGTTAGATATGTAGCCCTGCTTACTTATATATAAATTCTAGATGCAAGTATTTGATTGAAGATGTACAGTTCCGAGCTACATAGACATAGACCCGATCAACGAGACGCGTTGTCTCTTATTTAAGCATAGAGTATTCTCTATAAAGTATTGATTGTATCTATATCCTTAACTCCGCCCTTTCCTGGCAACCTCGGTTTAACCCTTCCTAGTATACCTTTGGTCCTGCTCGCAGGTCTATTAGCTACATAGCTTTAGGCACCCAGTTATGTTCGGTGCATTTAGATATAACGAAAAGACGAAGGAACATGATCATTTCAACCTAGCTGATCACCAGTCGTCCCCAGTACAGGAGAGGGAATATACGCGCACAGCTTGCGACTTATGCCGCGCGAAAAAAGCAAGTTGATAAACTTATACCCACAGCTCGCAGCAAACCAGGACCAGCTAACCGAATCATCGTATACAGGTAAAATGTAATGGGGACAAGGACGAGTGCGACAGATGCATAGCTTCCTCTAATATCTGTACATACACCTTAAGCTCTGGCACAGGCCCTGGTAGAAAAAGATTGCGTAAGACGTCTGTCGCCACAAACACCAGGTCAAATAAAAGTTCAATATCACGAAGTCGATCCCCTCGCCATCCCCAGCGGAAAAGAACGACTAGTGGGCATAAGAGCGGCAACAACACACTCAGAACAAGCCAGTCTATCCCTAGTTCGAGAGAGCCCGCAACAACCAGCACGATGATCGAGAATTCTTTTTCTAGTCCGTCCGACTCCGCCACGACGACAGGATGGTCGGTACCCGATTCGGATATTCACCATTTACTGAACTTACCGGCAGATATGGAGTCCTTCGCCGGGAACGAATTTGAATTTACTTCAGGTAAGCCCTCGTTAACTCTACCATTGCACTATACGGTTAGATAGAGGTTACGAGTGAATTTTCCGTAACTGATATTGAAATCAAAAGGGTTCTCTGCACCTGCATCGTTGTCACCTGATGATCAGTCGCCAAGTGGATTACATATGGATCAGGTATCAATATCGGACAATTACTCGTCCCTACTCGGTCTGCAATCTTCTGGGGCCATAGATTCGGCTCCTGTTCTTCTGCCATCCTCACCTACGGGAACACAGTCTGCGCAGGGCCTGTCTGATAACAGCCACAGCACGGAACCTTTGGGCACGCCTATAACCTCCAGCAGCTTGAGCCCTAGACAGGGGTGTGGATGTTTATGTGCCCTACTATACGTGTTTGAAGATACAGGCATCCAAATTACTTCCAGCCGAGACGTGGCAACCGACACCCTCTTCCAATGCCTACAACGAGGCGTGCAGGAATGTCAGGCCATGTTATCATGTCGAAAATGTGATACGAGAGTCAAAAACCCCATACTACTCGCTACGCTTTGCAACCAATTAGTCGCTATTGCGCGCGAGCTTGTCGCTCGATTCATACGGTGCCAAACCGGAGAAACCGCCCCGGTGGCTTTCCAATTCGGGCGATATTCTATCAACGGCACCGGGATGCAGACCCGGATGCTGCGAGACATGGTTGCATTACACGTTCGGGATTTATATGATTTGTTGCATCGTTCTAGACTCAATATCGACGCTATCCCTGGGCCGCTGTCGATATTAGAGAACGCGAAGTTCGAAGTCAACAGGCTTCAGGAAATATTATCACAGGGCTTAGAAAGTATAAGCAGCAGTTATAGCTGATGATATCTTATGTAGTTCTGTTACCTCTCAGTCTGGTACTGTATACGCGGCGTTTAGGTTTAAAATTCGGCAGTTTAGTCTTCTGGTTGGGTCGGTAGACAAATAATCAAAACGAAAGCAATTCTAGGTTCAAGCAGAAACTATCAAAGGTGCCTCCTACATATCTCCTAAGGATCTCATATAGTTTTGCGGCTATAACGGTAGGGATGTTTCAGCCAAGATCATCGTAATAGATTCCCCTTGTCGAAGCAATACTACAGTTTGGGGGTCATTGAAACCCACGTGCAACTCGGTCGTGGCTCCGGTGGTAAAATACTGGCAGATGCAACTAATGGAGGGATAAAATTCTCTTCGAATAGGACCGGTTTGGTAAGCCCGAAGTTATAGCCCATAGAAGGTCACAATGTACATCAAAGAGCTTCGAAGGCTTCTATGGGCCAATCCTATTCGCGTATCATCAAGCCTCTTTGAACTTGAGAGCTGAAAGCCTGCATATAGTCGGCAGGCCGGCCAAAGTACAGGACGCATGTCACGATACGTGACACAGCATGAACGTGAGCACTTTGATTAAATTTCCTATGTGGGCTTACCTCCAAGTTATGAGCTGACCCCGAGATGTATACGCCAAAGAACCGTTAGGTGTACTTTGCTACTCCATCGTAGATTCCTACCCTACAATCTATTTTTGCAGCTCCTCCACATGATCGCGCAGCAATGAATGATCTCCCAACTCACATCAAAGCTACCGTAGCATTTAGACGCCGTTCCAGTGCTCGGCTCGGTGGCACATACGACCTGCGAGCCCTACAGAGACGACAACGTTCTTCGAGGTCCACCGCGTATGCGAGGCTAGTGCATGACATCCAGCTTTCAGCTGCACGGATATTTCGCCGGTCTAATCGGAGAAAGGGAAGGGAACTAGAAGCGATCAGCTCTATGCAATACTATTATTTACGCGATAAAGAAAGCAGCACGCGTATTCCGAATATAATTATTCGTATATTATATCTTGATAGCCTACTGGTCCTACATTAAGGATTACAAAGCTATTAGCCCGGTCGTATGGATGAGCACCTTTCAACTACGAACTTTTATACAGTATACCATTCCGGATCAACCCTCACACAAGCCTTCAGGGTTGCCATGCCGACCATCATGTATTGTGACAGGCTTCATTTCCACTCCTTAACAGTCATTGAGGGTTAACGTATGTTCACCGCTTCTAAACAAATTCGCCACGTCTCGATAGCTGTATCACAGTCACCCCATCAATTTTCTTTTCCTTTCAAATGCTATCCTAGTCCCGAGTTCTAACAGCGAGCGACGGGGGAGGATCAAGGATTACCTATTATCACGATATTAAACTAGAAATCGGATACATCGACCAAGGGGTATGGGCTTGAAAAGGGCCGGAAGATTCTAGAGGTCGGATCATAGGAGATTCTGATTGAAAAGTGTTAGGTATGTCCGGTCTACCCGAGGAATAAGTATTAGAGGGGTCTGTACGACCTATATACGTGCCTTTAAAGCTCTAAAGCTCCTCGATTATCTCCACAAGCTTGTGGAACGTCTCTAGAACAATTTAATGAGGACCAATAGCCCAAGAAAGTGACTGGGGTATCCGATGTAAATATGGCGCAGTAGGCCTCCTCGATGATTAACCAAATACCTAACCGAATCCCGAGGAGCTGCATAGCATAGAAACAAGACCAATAATTTTATTCTGCAGCTACCACTAGGCATCGATCGTTGTGTGATAAGAATGCCTTCGGGCTTAGCCATGCCGAAAATCGTCATATCGCATTGAAAATCAACACGGAAACGGCGCCACATCTACATGTGACCACGTAGGTACAATGGCATGGCGATTGTGCAACCATGGATGCGGTTCTACTCCCTAGTTATCGAAGGCTACTTTGTATGAGACCTGGGAGATGGCCCATTGATGAGATATCATATGAGAGTGCTATGCAAGCTACTCGAGGTAATCCATCTCTAGTACTTATATGAGATACTACGAGCCTATAAGGCCATTTAAGGATTCGATCTCATATATTCCTCTAGGAACGACTAATAGAACGTGGAGGATTCCAGATGTATGAGGCATTTCAAATATATTGGCGCGTTAGGTTTGCATAGCAAATCTTAACTTCGTAGCCAGCCCCGAATACGGGATTGCTCTTCTAGGACTGTAGTTTAATTCAGAATCTAGAAAATCAATATGAGGATAACCTACCTAGGTAAGGAGGTAGGCAACATCGTAGGCAGCATTAACCCTGACAAGCTTCAAGTTTAGGCTACCCGTAACTTTGCCCATCAAGGACGGAGCATTCTCGTAAAGTTTGTGTTAGGTATCCAATCACAGTCAGCTATCACATCCAGGAACTTAATTGGGAAACATGGGTATCTTCTTATTCGCAACTAGGATGGATATAACGACATCCGCTGTCAATTATTGGTAATAGTCAACAACAAGTCAACGCTAGTGCATGTGGTTCTTTAAGCGCCCCTTGATAGTCCCAGATAACGAATTGCCCCCCTTAAGTCACGATTATCTCATCGTCTTTAAGCCTCGCGAACACGAGAGTGGGGAAGATGTTGGGCGCACGGTTTGCAAACCAGTCCCAATAGGTGCCTCCGTAGGGGTGTTCCAACTTCCCACTCTCGAAGGCATCAAACTGGTCTCCGTCAATCTCGTTAGAAAACCAAGCCGCGGTATGGACCCAGGCACCTAGGACCTCTCCAGCATAGTTTACCCATTCAGGCGAGTCATCAAAATCAATCGCTCTTTTCTGCCTCCACATCTCAGCGACCGTACCAGGAAGCACCAGAGAAGTAGCATCGACGTGATCGATGAGAGGGTCGAGCTGGTTGAGAGCAGGCGTAACAATTGTGTCCGGCCCAAAGAGTCGAGAAACGGCCATCTCGCTCCAAATGTTGGACACTGTAGCCGACTGGATGGAGATGAAGATGTTGTTCAGGTGGCTCGGATCATCAGCAACAAAGAGCATCTCGAATATCCCGCAAATTTTGTTGGAAAGTTGGCCGGAGTTACAGTCAACGAAGGGTAAGATGAGATTCTGAACGAAGGGGGTCAATTCTCCCACTACAAAGATGATGGTTAGCGGCTACTGGCGCTTGATACTAAGTCTGCAGTGATATAAGGATATTATAATTACGGAATCTGACGAATATCATGGAATTAAATCGGATCTAGGGAGGCGGTCGACTTACAGTTAAACTTGGTCGTGTCCCAGCAGACAAAGTCAGCAGCGGGACAAAACCAGGTTATGCTACCATCTCCGAGCTTGAATACCCCACCTCTCTCAAATGCAACGCTTCTCGACATGTGGCAGACATGGGCCAGCGTCGGAATAGGTATGCAGACGCGAAGGCTGCTGGACACGATGATGTGGCGGGATCCGCGTTCTGCAGGCACTCCGTCTTCTTCATCCATCGCGAGCTAAAGAAAGTACCAGGTCGCATTAGCGGTTTAACATAAACGGAAAGGTAAAAGAGCTCTAGAGAGAGAAAAAAAAATCGCTTACCCTCCAGATCATACGACGGATATACTGGGGCAGCGAGTTGAACTTCGGAAAGCTCGAAGGTGCGGTGACAGTCTCGGGCTTCGGATCCGTGTGGACCTGTAGATCGGCGTCCATCTGTTCGCCGAAATCCATATGATCAAGGCTCATGACCTCATAGAGATCGTCCTCAAAGTCGACCTTCATCTTTAGTGTCGGGGACAACATGAAGATGCTGCGAAGGTTGCTAATATGGGTAACAGACCCTGTGGTAGAAGGGAAAGTAAATGAGATCTTGCTCAAGAACACAAGACTCGAGAGAATGATGTGCTCAGGTTGAGATCTTGCAACTGTGAACCTGATCCAGTTGAAGTTGAAGAGAGGAAAATATTAATAAAAGTCACCGGGAAGGTGCCTTATTTATTCCCACCTGGTGGCTTAAGGTATTAGGAAGCTATTTCAACTTAGCTTTGAAAAATTCGCTCTGCCATGGCAGTAAGTGATCTGTTGGCATACGAGTGGCTGATCTAGACAGGCGACTGGCAGGTTTAGCAGCTTAGGAAGGAAGAATCTGAGCAGTGTACTGTACTAAACAAGACTTACAGATATATTCGAGTGTAGCCAGTCGAAAAGGTATCCGTATTTGAAGCTATGACACGAAGTCCAGTCACTTATTGTGACAATGCACGCAGTTTGACATTCTAAACCCAACGAACCAGGAAGGAACATCGTGATGTACTGTCCAATAAACGAGCGTGATTTTTAAAGGAACTCTGTCTGTACCTTTATCAAAGAGGGAGGTGGTCATCTCAACTCCAGATTTTCCAGGGTGCCATCTTGGTGAATCAACAGCAGATTTCAATCTTTACAAGCGTCATTTCATCCCTTGATGTACCCATTAGTATAATACGACTAATTAGCGCATCGAAGCTCAGAGTATTGTTAATTGTTACAGTACAGAGCTTAAGTCCTTGGTGCGGCAGTTATGTACTGCCGTTTGGTCGTAGGTTTGCCCAACACGGACAGGAATTAACCAAACTGGTTAGAAACAGAACTACTTATTGCTGGTCTGAACATCCGCACAGGGTTAAAGAACGTTTTAGTTGTAAGCCATCTTCCGCGGTCTATGCTAGTCGCTGCACCAGCTGCATAGCGGTTTATTGTTCGGTGTGTATTATGGTGAAAAGGGGGTGGATAAAGGGTCTCTGCAAGGCGAAGGGGCTATCGATATCTATATCTCATGCAAACAAAGATTCAGCCTGAACTGCAGTATCCATGTTGGCTTGAATAGTAGGGAGCAAACCGCCTACGCGCGATCATCTTAGAGTAGTAAGGCTAACAAGGTGTAACCGAGACCCGTTTTCCTGATGTGTAATAGAGGAACACGCAGCAAGGAACATAAGCAGAACCATGTAGATAAGGGCGAGCACTAAGGAAAATCCGTATCATAATGTACAGTTCTAATTGCGATTCTACTCACATTAGGTACCTTAGGTACTTATACCAATTATGGACAAACACCACCGTGACAGACTATATTGCAGCAAGAAATATTTCGTAAAGATTAGGTATATTACTGATCGAGTCGCTGCCTGAGTGATACGTAAGAGAAAATTGAGCACCAATAGGAAGTTATCATAAGTACCTATAACTACACCTGATAACAAAGTGAACGAGATTCTTTCCTAAGGTAGAGTTGTAAGTTCCAGAAGCTCTCCGTGTCATTCGCCTTCTCCGGAATTGAATGGATGTTACTTTCATGTACATATAGCCATGGCGTGTGAGCGGGGAAGTTGCCTTTGATGTTGAAGAATCACAGACTGTCTGATTTGTAGAATAGGGGAGCCTCCTTTACATATTCAACGCTACGATTGGCCCGTACGCTCAGGCAATGAATCAGACAAATAAATTATCATGATGACGCGTATTATCTATAGGACTGTACAGTCCATCCAAGGTTTTAAGGGTGTTTGAGTTAACTACAAGTTGGGCACTATTGGCGATTAACCGGATGATGAAGGAGCACAGACGTACAGACAAGTCCGAGCCGTTGGTAGTAAGGGTCTAGGCCTCCGGGCACTACTCGGTCCACGCGGAGATCAATATTTAGTTAAATAGTACTCTTCATCGCTTGACGCTCTCGATGGAATGTCTATATACAATTAAGGGTACATTCCTCGTTCCGTAGGCAGATTATCTGCATGAGTTTCGGCTATCCGGCTGACGTGCAGGTCGAACCCAATTAGAACATTTTAGAGGCGGATAAGGCTGGAAGCACGCTTGGTTTTTAGCAGGATACCACGTAGCCTGACCTCGTTTTGAATTATCTTTTCTGATGGGAAACCGGGGGAAGGGGGGGGAGGCAAAATCAGCAGAGTTTAAAATCCTACCTCATGTTATATCTGTTTAAATCTATAGCCTTAATCCTTAATGGTCCAATTATAAACCCCGATCCGTTCAATCTAGATTTAAACATCGCCGAAAGCTGCGCCCCAAGAGATCTAATTATGCTTAGCCATTGGGCTACCAGAAGACTTTAGTGGTCCAGGGGTTAAGAGCGTTGTAAGAGGTTGATCTCTTCTAAATTATGCAGACTTACGTAGGAGGTATGTTCTTCCCATTATATGTTCCTACTCTGGTAATGCGTGTTAAACGATTTCTCTCGACGTAAGGTTTAAAATGGGATGCCATCAGCATAACGTGCGCGCAGTCTTGTCTCATGTAGCGACTTTCGCTTTTGTTCTACAGAAGCAATGCAGAACCATCATCACGATGCCCATTTTGACGACAATCAATACCATTTCCCGCCCAATACGCTGACATCCAAGCAGTCTCAATTAGGCGGTATTTTGGGACGCGGTGCACATTGGGGCGTGAGTTACGATGGAACCGAGTCGAATATAGCTTCCAACTACATCACCTAGTCCTCCGAAGTCTACACCAACACAATCTGTCAAAGTTGGTTCCAGGTTAGCTGTGGCCGGGCATAGAACCCATGCGGATTATGGGATTCGTCTTTTCTTTCAAGACACAGATCATCAAATCCGGTTTGCAGATAAGGAACACGTCAGTGCCAATTGGACCAAGACAACGGTTTTGGACACACTATTATACCAACCAATAAAAAATGGATCGATAGCCGCGGGTTCTTATTTGTTTACCGACCCGGTGGTAAGTTTTATACCAAAGGATGGCCATGTGCATATTGCTGATCGAGTAGCCAAACCTCGAGTTTTTCTACGAGGATAAAGATGGTATAATTCGGGGCCAGAACTTCAATTTCAAGTTTGAGAACGGAAAGCTTCCTCCCAAAGGTGAACTCGGAACTATCAATACGTATCCTCTACAGACGGCTGGAAAAACTCGAATATCATGCTACTTTCCTTATATTGCTTCTCAGGACGCTAATAACGCCATACGATGGACTACATTGCTAGGGCAGAATACCAGTGACCTCTCAGCCCCGTGGTGGGTTAATGATACGAATTGGAACATTAAAGCATCGAACGGGGGTAGCATGGTTGTGCTTCCAATCGCACAGGCATATAAAAAGGCCGGAGGCATTATTTACAGAAGCAATGAGGGTATGCTATCACTCGAAATCCGTGACGGATTAGAGTCTTTTAATGACGAGGGGGCTTGGAGGAAAGGGGCTCTGTCGAAGAAGATCCTAGCCGACACCCCTATCGGTGCCTTTTCCGTCGGGCGACCTTACGACAACAACAATCAAGTTAATACGGATATACTATACCAGGACGATGATGGTATAATACAAGTTGTATGGCAAGACGACGATACAGGTTGGAAAGGTCCTCAAACCTACGACGCGCTAGATGGAGCGGAGAAAGGAGCGGATATTGCTTGCCTGACTCCCGGGGCCTACGAACCGGGAAATATAGGCATATCCAGGGAACAGGATATGAACCGGTGTTTTTTCCAAGTAGGCGGCGGGAAGGTTAAAGAAGTATGGTTTAACGGCACCAACTGGGTTTCTGCGGGGATCGTGCCGATTATATAGAAGTGTACCTAACTTATACGACAGCAGGAGTTAAGAAGATGCATATTACATATTATACCCAATGAATATAGCAATTGAAGTTTTAAAGGGTTAAAGGAGTATCATGCATCTAAGCGGCTTATGTACCATGTTTGGACTTGCAAGTACATAGGTAAGTACCTAAGTACTAATGCCGATTGCCCCGCCGCGGCACCCCCCATGCACGCGATACCTAGAACCCCGAGATAGCCGATAAGATAAGAAGATGTATCAGCATTACCAGCAGCATATCGAAGTTGCTTGGCAACTGCGCTGCTCTCGTCTCTAGACTCTAGCGGCAACATCCTTCGTGCCTCTCTTCCTACCGAAACTAGGGAATCGCGTGTCGTCGGTTCCACCTTGCAGTAGGGAGGTTTATATATTCCATACACTTTACTTCCCTATTGCAACCTCCATCTTTTTATACGTGTGCTCCGAAGGCTCAAGCGCCTTTGTATCCCTGTAAGTTCATTAGGAGGAAAGTCCGTGACCATCAGAGAGGGTCAATGCTAGGACCTCAGCCCCTCAACTCACTCCTCGAGTCCTCGAGTCCTCGAGACGACATTCTCAAGACTATCGCTAACTTTCCCTCTTCACAGTTTTTCAGCAATCCTTATTTACCCCGGGAGATTTCGTCGTTATAAGTAGTGGCGAACGATAACCAAGCTCGATTAATCAACATCTCTCAGAGACTCTAAGCATATTTCCGCGCTTCTATGGTTTCCCCGTCGACCTCCCTCTATGCGGCTTGAGCGATTCTGGGTCACAGGATGTCTGCTAGTAGTGATCCGCCTGTTGCGCCCCGCCTGTCCGAAAGGGATGCTCTCGAAATAAGCGACGCTGGCTTAGGAAGCTCGCATGCTTATGACGAGACCCGAGCTAACCCCGTCTGTCCATACAGTACTTCCAGATTCTTCGACCAGGAATGTTCTCGCTATCACGACTGTCCAACACACACGATTGAGAGGAGTCCTGTGGGGGGTGATGATGGCAATGTGGTAATCGGGATGCGTGGCCACGGGTCTAGTCAGGCTGATGCGACAACACAACAGGTCGGTGGCACGTTAGGAGATGGCGAGGATTCAAATGGCTCGAGCACGGAATCGAGCGCGGCAAATGGTTCGATGCCTAGGCAGGACATAGGTTCCAATTTCCAATCGTCGGAAACCGACGTCAGCGTCAATACGATCGCATCCGATGAACGGGGCTCAGCATCACGTGCGGTTCAAGTTGCCGATACACAAGAGGGGACGCTCACTCTTAGGGAAGTCTTAGGCCAAACGACAGAATCATTTGGTGGACCGTCTATTGGAAACTCGGCACCGCCTCAATCTAGGACCGATGCAAGATCCCCGATAGTTGTGCGTACGAATCAGAATGCAACTGTACCACCATTGGTAGTTTCAAACGAGACCCAGAGGCCCCCCTCGCGCTTAAATCCGATAGCACCAGAATTTACTCCACGGCCAGACAGGTCTCCGCAGGATATTACCCTTCCGAGATGGCAGCCGGATAGCGAAGTGACCTTGTGTCCAATATGTCGCACGCAGTTCAGCTTTTTTGTTAGGAAACATCATTGCCGGTAAGTTTTATTCTGGGTAACTACCTAACCTATATATTACAAAGCCGGCCGAGGAAACTAATACAGGACAGAAAATGTGGAAGAGTAGTATGCAATGTGTGCTCCCCGCATAGGATTACTATACCACATCAATATATCGTACGGCCACCCGGCGAAAGGACGTTTCAGCGATATCCCTTCCTCGGGGAAGAAGGCGGTATCGCCGATTTTACCGCGCTCGGAGGTGGTGAACAGGTCCGGCTCTGCAACCCCTGCGTCCCGGACCCGAATACTACACCACCTCAAACCCAGCACTCGACAAGCCAATTCTCGCCGAGGTCGACGCATCATCGATCCCATAGTAGTTCTAGTGGCAACTACAATGGGGACGGCAATCTCAACCGCCCCCAACAGTACTTGGTCATACCAAATTCACCCCATGATGCCTACCCTAGGAGTCGAAGTATCACCATGGTTCGTTTTCCCCGTTACCATTTGCACACTTACAAGTAACCTACTGATACCACCATAGAATTCTGGTCCGGGCCCCTCGAGGCCTGTAAGTGGACCTTACTTCCCGCCTCAAAACAGAATTATGACCGGAACCCCGCCGACGTACTACTCGCGCCCACAACAGGCACACCCGAGATATCGCCGTACTTCGCTCCTGAGTCATCACTTATCCGGTGGTTCTTTCGTCGATATAGCCAGTGGTTCCTCGTCCGCATCCTCGACAGCGATGACTAATCGCCCATTACCACCCGCGCCGCAGATCCCGGAAGAGGACGAGTGCCCCGTATGCCATCGTGAGCTGCCCTCGAGAGAGCTTCCTAACTATGAGGCTCTACGAGAGTCGCACATCGAATCGTGTATCATAGCACATAGTTCGTACAACCCGAGTTCTGGCGCATCCGGCAGGTCGATCCAGGCCACTCGCAGAACCGGCATGTTTCCGTACCTAGCCACGGAGAAGGACTGTGTAGACTCTGCGGAATGTACCATCTGCCTCGAAGAGTTCGAGGTCGGCGTCGCCATGGCGCGTTTGGAGTGCCTGTGCCGCTTCCACCGAGCTTGCATCAGCGCGTGGTTTGTCGATCACCCCGGGCGATGTCCTGTTCATCAGCACGACAGTCTCGGTTACTGATCAAATACTTTCTTGATATGTTTAGCTACTCGCACATCCCTACAACTCACCTCCCAGCATAGAGTTCATATAGTCTCGCCTCATTGTAGTTGTATTAATTCCAATTTCCGCAGGGGGGGCTTAACCTAGGTATAAGTTTGGCAAGGGGACGGGCATTTGTAGCACTGTTGTACACTCTTTATAATCTGCATTTCTCTAATGGCTAGCGAAGGGGTTCTTCCTTTTTCCTAGATACGTGTGGCTCCTACGCCGCTACACCAGTACGGAGTCTGGCGCAGGGGTTAGCGCTTGGATAGACTTATACCATTTTGCCTTACCTTTCTAAGCCGACTATGGGACATCTGACATGGTGCTCGGTGACGTGGTACCTAAACGAACACCAGAATTCCTTGTAGCCCGTTGCTAATCATAATGAGTAACCGGCCTCTATATGTCGTACTATTATTATGTAACTATACCTACTGCTGCTCGTCACCGGGCATCTACCTAGTTTACATAGGTCAACAGGGACTGAGCCATCAGCTACGCTTACAGGGATCGTGTTAGCCTCGTCAACCTTGGCTCTTCACCGACTTTAGTGGCAGTATGCGGTTTGGGCCCCCCACATTGGCCTGTTTGGTTTAGTGTCGGCGCCAGCGATCGAGATTTCCCCATCCTGCTTCATCTTTTCCCCCGCACGCACGCACGCACGCACGCAGCTTATTAGTCTTGGGTACCCTAAGGGACCTGTCATAAAGCACACGCATGCTTCGTCCTCGTTGCTTAACCGTTTTGATTATTTCCCCAGAATGACGTATGTCGTACGCGCTAGGCCACCTGGCCACTGAGAACCCCTACCCTGTCTTCCCCCTTTCTTTCCTGTGCCGAGGTGAGCTATCATCTATCGGTTCCTGGGGTGGCGACGGGGAATTGGCTGGGCGGCGCATGCGTCTGCGACTAATCGAGGCGTACCTGACGTCGTCTTACGGCTTGGGTGGTGTAATATTATGCCACCCCAGGACGCAGATAAATGCCGTTGTTGGGTCTGCATATACATGCGTGCGTACGTGCGCACTTTATGCTCCTAGACGGATTTGGGGGGAGCAGTCCAATAGGAGGATAAAGCAGCGACTAATCAGAATGCTTAGCCATTAGTATATACAGATGCTGCAGGCCGGGGATGTACCGGCCGGTCGTTCAGACCCGGGTCATCGGACTCCGGTATAGAGTCGCGGGTCCCGGGCTCGACATACGTCGCTCATCACGAAGATCCTCTCCTCTCCTGAGTCTCTTGCTTGGATAGCCTATGCTCGCCTGCAGAAGGATATCTACAAAGATGGCGCACCTACCAGCATGATTGTCAGCAGAGGTACGCCAGATATTTTGCGCCTTTCCGGCCTGGCAGCTTGATCCAAGGTGGCAAAAAAACGACTGTAACGGGACTATAAAATACCACTCTGTAGCGTTCACGCGAATTTGAAGCCAAGATACTGAATCAAGATACTGAATCCTAAATATTAACTTGGTAATATATCGCTACATTACATTCCTCTTCTTGCAATATCAACTGTGACTTGGCCTTCAAGTGGCAAAGGCAAGCAGCAAGTTAATGATGGGATGCATAAGTTACCTGTTACCTGTTACCTTATTAATAGGTATATCATTGGCCTGGTGCGCAGGTAGGTTAGGTAGTTTATGTCGCTGATTAATGCTATGTAATTGTGAGACAACCCTACAACCACACCGTCATCATCTTACCACGTCAGGTTACCAATATAGACCATATGTATTACTTGATGCATCGTAAAATCGAATATACCCTATTAGAGCAGGCGTCAACAACACTAGATTCATAATTATTTATAATTTTAACAAACTAGGAAGAATACTGCGACCATAAATTGCACTACAACCATAAAACAATGCAACAAGCTCTTGGCTCTTAATCATCGAGTGGTCTTAAACATGGCCAGCCAACGGGTGAGTTAAATTGTGGCCTGTTTCAGCATGATATTAACAACGTTCGCTAAGTAAAGAAATGCAGCTTATGGCTTGGTCATCGTAAGATTATAATAAAAAAGTCATCTATATAAGACTGCGTAGGCTTTCCAGTGATCGCGCTTATCATGCTTATATACATCCCCCCCTTTAAGATGCCTCCCTCAAAGAGGAATACTTCCCGAATTTCCATGCATGAGGCTCTTGTCATTCGCCCCGATGTGGACACCATATCGGGCCTTGGAAGTTACCCGGACATGCGTGAGCGCAGCTTATAGGCATGTATGTCTTGCTTGTCGTCCCTTTATGGATACTCATCGACCAGTACCACAACCTCGGAGCCCAACCGTATCTAACCGATGGCTACCTGCTGTACAGCCTCTGCGAGTCGAAGTGCAGTACATAAGGAACAGTTTCAGGCGAGGTAGCCAACTTAGCTTACTTATTAGACAAGTGCCTGATTACACAGGTCGACGTTGTTGAATGGAGGTTTATGTCAAAGAAATAGCCAAGCCAAAGGATCACAGAGGGCGGCAAATGAGCGAGAGGGAACAGTTTATATTGTTGCATCGACCAATGACTAGATGGACCGTTACATGCTATCGCCCAACGACGAATGGCGGAATTCGGCATCCCTTCAAGACATCACTTCGAGATAACAAAGCGAAGCGGAAGCGGTGAAAAATACCATTTGTTTCTTTTTCTCCGGTTTTCCAGCGATACGTGCAGCCATCCCACGTGCCGCTACGATATGCCGCGGGCGGAAAAAGGAAAAGAGCTTGCAAGGATCAGTTAGGATGATGAACGCCCCTCACTGAGAACCGGTGAGGCTTTGCCTAAGAACATAGAATCTCCTGTCCGACATACCACTATGGTGTAGGTCGATACGATACGAAGGGAAGAGAAAACAAAGCGTCGAGTCGGCAGAGTAGATACCGCTCGCCTGGTGTAATATACTTCTTTATTGTTGATGCGTACTGTGCGTAGGTAGAGGACAAGAAAGGGGGCCATGTACCTACATAAGCAAACATACATACAAGCCAGCCCCTTGTCTCTCATTCGTCCCTACAAGGTAGATCTACAAGGTAGATGCCTGTCAAATAAGGACGGGAAGCGCCAATTGCGTCAGTACCCAACAAGGAACAACGACTAACAGCCACGCCTTACACGCATGGCAAATTCACGAAAAGACTCAGATGACGGATAGGTTTAGATTGAGAAAAGCTCATGGGATTTTTGAAAAAGCGATGGGAGAGCCGAAGACCCCGGTCTGCATGTCAACTGGACATGGCCAAATGCTACCCGTCTAATCCTCCCCGAAAAAAAAAAAAAACAAGGCCACGTCTGTCTCCCGTCCTAAAAGCCCTCGTAGGCTAACCGAAGCCCTCCGTGGGGGTGAGATATCTTTCTATAGGTCCTAGCGTACAAGGAGCGAGAGAAGGAAGTGAGACGGGACCAAGCGGGCGCGTCGGGGAGCAGCAGAGGGGTTGTGGGTTGTGACGATCATCTTCGCTTGGGCGTGCTGCTTCAAGTGTGGTTACACAGATAAGCGTTCCTCGGGCTTCGACTCGCTCGGGTGTTGGGCTGATGGGAATCTGGATTTTCCCATGAGATTAAATCCATGGTCCAGAGCTTTTCCATTTTTCTTTTCGCTGCCGCCCTTCTCCAATAAACCCGATCTCGTGTAAATATCCGTGCATATAACACGCCAAGATAAAAATATTAATAGTAATGAATGTGTGATTCAATCCGGCGAACGTCGCAACGCCGATTTTGCCGCCCGTTCTTGAGGTGAGATTTTCTAAAGTTTCTTGGCCGGTACAAAAGTCCCCGGGGATGGATAACAAATGCTCGCCCGAAGCAGGTAGATCTCCGTCTGTACCCCTATCTCGACCGGCCGACAACACCACCAACTCGCCCGGCTCTGTTTACACCGCATGTGAAAATACACACATACGGCAACCTTATCTTCCATGCCAACCCATCTGTCCCGCGTCGCTATGGGAATCACAGCATCTGCATTATCGAACCGCCCAATGCGACTACCATGTCGTAGGACTTCCCCTCGGTAGCACCCGTAGTAACGTCTACGACTCTGCCAATCATGTCGTGTCCAGCGTAGCGCGTTATCAACCTTCATGATCGATAAAAGACGTATCGTATTGTTGAGAAAGTTGAGTGCCAGCAGCCAAGCTGGAGGCTGGAAGATTGATCTCTGTCTCCTGATTGGAATTGACGTCTCACTTAACGGTGCATTCCGATGACTCGTGGCTATCGTCGACGGCAGATACAGCGCAGAGAGGACTGCGAAACATCCTGACCATGTTAGCTTCTCAGCACCGCGAACCAGGTATCGGACAAATGAGCAAGCATTCTCAGATTCGGAGCAAGCGAAGACGTGAGAGCCTACTAACTGCCAGGCTATAACATACTATTCGTCACCAGCGAGAAATCCAGAACAGCAGTCGAATGAACGGGTAGGCTCTATTCGCGAATCATTGTGCTCGAACCAAGCTATGTTCCAATGACGAGCAACGCCTACGTACATGTTGCCAACGAGGTCAATCGCCTTCGGTTGACTGCCGAAATCAAATCGTTATTGCAAACGCCGTTTGTGATGCCAAATTCCGTTCAACCCATCCCCTAATCCAATGGTAGTCCTGATGCTGATGTAAGTCATGAAACGGTAGTGGTATATAAACTCTTTTTCAACACCGGATTCCCCGTCTTGGTATAAAAATCACAGTACAACTCGTCACCCCCAAATACGTAGCACTGTTAAAACACACTCAGAATTGAGGTCTCCCCGTATTAGCCGGGCAGACCCTCTCACTGAGAAGAACTACTAGAGTCCAGAAGCAACGAGCGGCCACCGAGCGAATCTGGTTAGTAAATGTATAGTATAATCCGGCAGGTCCGGTGAGTTCGAATCTCGGTGTCGGTAGCGATCCAAAGTCGCAAAAATCGGTATGGGTATCATAGGCGCCGCTGTCGCTACACGGCGGCCGTTGTTTGTCCAACCTCTCTCCTCTCCGTTGCAACCTCGTGGCGGCGGCCTACTTCCTGCCTCGGTTGGTAGACGTAATTTTGCTTGTGCTCATTAGATCGCCAATATATTTCTGCAGAAACTTGTTATGACTGTCAAGCTTGTCGTGCTCTTCTTTGACCGCCTCTATTCGATTGAAGATCATCAAGAGAGAATCCTGCAGCGCCCTCGCATGCCTGTAATCCGTCAGCCTCAACCCCCCAGTCTCGTCGGATCAAATTAGACTTACTTATGAAGCTCTTCCCGAGCCTCGCGTCCCATAACCTCGATATCCTCGCTCGTTCTCCGCGGGCTCATCGCCCTGACATCGTCCGGCTCAAGGTCTGGCTCTAGGGGGCCAACTTGAGAGGAATCTCGAGGAACTATAAGAGTGCCGCTGCTCTTACGGTTGGGCAAGCGCGGTCGAATGGGGACGGGACTGTGAATCCCCTGGGTTTCTACAGAAGAAGACGAGGAATCCGATCGCTCGGGGGGATTAGGTTTCGTAGTTGCGGGCTCACTATTCATCGTGAACGCGTTGTGTGTATAATCCTACTACTGGTCCAGACCGTCGGAGGGTTTGCGGAAATGAAGTATTGAGTTGGCGAAAGCGAACGACGTGATGCCCGCGGTATTATAATGGATTAAAGGTTGGTAGGATGCTGTGAAGGTTTACGCCCGTATCCTCCCGTCACCCAAGCTTCCGAGAGATCGCCACCATTCAGTACAGATAATAGGTACCGTGATGTCCGAACGGGTAGAATAAATGCGTAGGTTTGTCCGTGTGCGACGGGCCTGAGGCGCAGGTAACGAGAGAAAGGTGCGCAAGAGGCTGTCTTGGCTAATTCCTGCAAGAAGGATACATCGGCTCTTTTTCTATAATTTCTTCGTATGAGGGTGTGGGTTGTATAAGTCGGTCAGGCTACGGCAGTGGAAAAGAGAAAGGGTGGGCTTTGGGTAATAAGGGAGGAGAAGCAGGAAGAGTTCGAATGGACCTGGTCTTGCGAATCGGGGATGAGCGGGGGGGACCAATTCGACATAAGGTTGAAGTGATCGCCAGACTAAAGCTCAGGACTTGGACGGGGGTGCCGCAGGTGTTTTGGGGGGTGGCAGGGTGAGCGTGGTTGGGTTTTGCGCTGGCCGAGTATGAGAGAGTTTGTGTGGTCAGTCAGCTCGTGGGTCGTTTGTCGATCGGTACAAAATTGTTCAAAGGACGGCAGAAGGGACGTTTTTGTTTAGGTCTCTCTGATGCGACAGAGAATTACGGCACGGCACAGGGACTTGGAAAAGTGACATAGTCACAGTAAAGCTAGCACGGTATTATCCGAGTGGATACCTATCCACTTTGCTTGTTTGCCATGTACCTGCCTTACCAAGGCGTAACGTAAGTACATACCTAGGTACGTACACCTGCTTTTGTACCTGCTCTGCTTCGCTGCTGCTTCTGTCTCCGACATCTCCATACCTACATCCATACATCCATACATGTCCATGCCTTCCAAGGTTCTATGCCTACATGTATGTTCCATGTCTCGTACCTACGTACATATAGTGTATTGTACCTACATGGATGTATCTACATAATGCGTTCTTAATGCATACACATAATGCATCTACAGCCTCTTTTGACAGGAAAGGGACTATTAATATTGAGGACATCTATGTCATTGTAAGCAGCCGAATCTCGGCGGGAAGGGCCATTGAATTAAATTATAGGCAGATAATCACAAACAGGATGCGATTGCCTAGGCCTTAAGGTTCTTTGTTATTCTATCATATCCGTCCGGTGGATGCATTGGATACTTCGTACTCATTCTTTACATAATATTATTTCCAACATCATTACTAAGGCCCGCGTAATAAACCTCGATGGCGAGACGGCGAGACGGCGAGACTGACTCCTCCAGCTCGAAAATTCTGAAAGATTCTATTTATGCCATCTTACCTTTAAGAAGACCCAAACCTGAAACATGACAGCGGTAGTACCTAGTGTAGGAGGACAAGCCGTATCAGAGAAACATTGAATTATACTAATACATACATAGTGCCGAATTACATATGTACTGCTATCTAAAATAAAGGGTTCCTGTAGGGAGAGCCACTATTAAAGGGCACCCACATAAAGAATATCCTAGTCGCGCGGATCGTCGTCGGCTTGTGTGACTCCAACAGACCGCTCATGATTGGGGAGTCTTCGATAAGAAGTGGCCCTTGGAATGGGATTGCTACTGGATTCCTCTCGGACTTGGCTAGAGGCAAATCAGCCAATGACCGTGCTCAAATTCGTGGACCGGCAAGAGAAGTCGATGGAGCACAGCAATCTTAGACCGTTTCTAAGGGGTTCCTATGATGAGCAACTGATCTTAAAAGCCTGCTTCACGAATACGTTTTAAGTAAGTGATAAGCAAAAAGGCCCCGTTTAACGGCCCATTATGATGCTTACGAGATTTTCACAATCTGGCGGTCGGAACAGGACCCGAAATGCTTCTTCGTACCAATTATGCTCATTTGATAAAACTTCACCGCGGGTTGACCACATACCTCACGACGAACACGTCTCTCAGATCATTGCACCGAGACGAGAGAGTGAACTGTTCAAGAATTCCGCATGCACGTCCAAGAAAGAGGCATTTTAGATGAAGATAGCAACCCGAGTCGGAGGGCCGGCAGGGTATATGACTGGCCTATCATATCCCTTGGCGCAGATTAAAGTTGTTCTTCCGCTCTGCAGGGCGCCAATTTCAGAGGATATGAGAAGGACCCCTAAAAAGGTGACCTCCTTCGAGATGCAAGTTAGGCAAAGTATCCAAATGCCATCCGCCAAAACCCCATGAGGTGGCGGGAATACCACTAGGAACTGCGTCGTCGCTAAACCGCCCAATTCGATTCAATCAAACAACATTTTGTTTGCCTCGCTCTTGGTTTTCCATTTCGCACTCCTTCCTCATATGATGGACTCGGGAGAATGAGTAAAATGACTGATCAGGCAGGGCGAAACAAGAATATTCGAGAGGACGCAGAGATGGCGTAATCGGAACGTCCTCGGATCTTTTCTGGACGGTTCAATGGCCTTCGGGCTAGGGCAGGCCCCCGGAAGATGACGATTTTGTAGACAGGAGCAGACAAGGCAGATATATATGGGGCATCAGAGCTGAGAGGCAGAAGCGCAGAGCTAGGCTGCTTTTGTACAGTCGAAAACACAGTATGACCAATTCAGCAACAAGTACACAAGTACACCCATCTATCAGTACCCTAGGTACATACAACGTACAGCGATGGTGCAGCACCTATTTCCAAATCGGATGCGGGGCCTTTCCACGCCCTGGCGTGTGGTGAGCGGTACATATCTACGCGGTGATGTCATTTATAAGCAATGTGTGATATTATCATGGTTAACTCGTTGCCGCTTCAGCTCAACCAGCCAATGCGTACCGAACAGGCGTCTAATATCCGGGCCCTGAGTTGTTCTGCTTACGTACGAACCGTGGCCAGGTATTCGCTTGTAGGTACATAGGTATGCATTCCACAATAGAGACAACAAGGCAACGAAGCTGGCAAGGCGACGCCATCTTGCTAATCTGCTAATCTGCTAATCTTGCTACGACTTCAAAACAGCTCGCTGGGATTCTCATAGCAGAGCGACGATCCAAATGTTAAGATCTACCCAAAATATCCCCCATGCACGAAGCCTTGGTCTGATTTAGGTAGGTATTCAAACAGATTAACGAGACGTTTTCTGCATGCCTTACCCACCGTCGAATCATTGCCTTCATAGGAAGGTATACTAGCAAATCCTCATTTGAGCCAGGCTCTTCACGGCAAGTTTGTTACCAGTTCCTAACTGCCCGTTCAGCCCGCCATCCTCTTTGTTAGATCTAAGTCGATTTAAGAGCAACGTTTTCTCCCGGGACCTGCCCTTGTCGCGTTTGGCAGTTATATCGACACTTTTCATGTGGCTGCTGACCCTGCTGACCCTGCTGGCCCTGCTGGCCCTGCTGGCCCTGCTTGCCATATCTATCGCGGTGACGACATGCGTACCAATCTCCGCAAGAGGCTCACTGATCCTCACCGGGGCCTGCATACGTATCTAGGTACCTGAGAATCCTATTCATTCCCCGCGATCAAGCCCTCAAGCCCTCAAGCCCCCAAGCCCTCACGGCTTCTCTCATACGCATCAGCCACCCGCGCCGGGCCAAGCACTTCTGAGACCCCTTAATCATAGACTTTCCCCCAAATCTTCCACCGAACTTCCACTAGGTTCCTAATGCTTCGTCATATTTCTAAATCCTCTTGCGATCTCCTGCTGCTTGCCGCTGCTTGTACGTATGTCGTGGAACGGTAATGACATCACCCTCACGTTCACTTACCAACTCCCCTTTCTGAGAGGGCTGTAGTTACCACTTCCCCTCATCAAACGTTTCAATGTCAGAAACCAACGTGAGATCCCATATAAGGTACGTATAATATATACGTATACTTGCATGCGCATCTTCCCTCGCGTGTAGTTAAACCAACGTTGTTAACGTATGACGGGACAAACGACGATATGTAGGTTAGTGCTGTGTAATAATGCTATACCTGATTAATAAGTATTCTACCACCTAATTGCAACCCGCCTATGCACCTATGCATCGGTCTATGCTCTTTATGTAATCCGTATACTGTGACTAAAGGCAACGCCCGCTTTTCTTCCGGTATCCAAAACATTCGAAGGGCCGAATCCTGCACGTCTCACGTACTTCAACAATGGCTATCAATTTCTTCCACATGTGCCAGTCCCACCCAGAAATTATATATTGTGGCCCTGTGTTATCCATCAACACGTAACACGGCTGCCCAAGTCTCACCCGGCTTCTAACTAACGAACTATCTAATGTTAATAGGGTAGAGCACTTGCTCCATATAGCAGCCTACAACACGCAAGCACCTCCACTTCTAAGTTTTGTCAGAAGTGTGTATCCCACAGCTGCATCACGGACGCTGGAATATCTTCATCGAAACAGGGGGGGGAAGAATGCACTTCACCGACAAGAAGCGTCCTCGAAGTGCCGATCCTCTCTGCTCCCGCGATGCTTGTCCGACGTGTCTGGCCAATCACGCATCACGGACGCAAGGATGCAAACATCGTCTCCTCCAAGCCTAGTACCAGAGATCGTCGGTCGTTGGGGCCAAGTCTCTGCTGCCGGAGCATTCTCGCCTCCTAGTTTATCGCACCCCCCCAAAAAGGTATATCACGAGGGGCCTCGTTAGGTCCGCGGCCTGCCACGTGCAGAACCAGCCGTCGCCTCTTATCCGCTTCCATATTCTGTTCATATGTACTGCCATAGCAAGCGGGGCTTGTTGCGTGGTAAGGCGCATTGGCACACTCTTCTACGTACAAACCTTCATGCCTTGCCTACCAGCCAGTTTGCCTGCTTATCAGATGGCGGCCTAGTCCAGATGATGCCCTCGTTGTTATCGAAGCCTATAGCTATTCCGGTAGCTATATTTGTGCCTCTCCCTTGAGATCGTCAATGGGCCGCGGGCTGTCGTCACGAGGTTATTAGGCATTACGAGATGGCAGAGACGATCTCCAGCTACACCAGCAGCTGGAACTTGGATCAGCGTAATTTGCAGCTGGCTGGAGTCGAATACCAATAATCCTATCGGTTGCGGGAGGTAAGAACCCTCGTGCTTGGGTAGCGTGGTGATCACTGGTATTTTACCACACGTACGTAGCCTTGGGTCGTTCTAGCTCGGCTTCGAGAAGCAGGATTTCGTCAGAGCCTCGTCCTCGTTTTGGTTCGTATCTAACTAGCCAACCTGCCACGAGCTCGTCATGCATAACGCGGTAAGAATCCCCCCTACATACGATCAAGAAAGGTTGACAACTGGCCGGGCAGTGATCTATGATGGATCTCTTCCCCTTGGGAAACCAGCGCGTCGTGATCAGCAAGGCGGCAGTCGCCCTGATCAGCAATGCGAGCTCGCGGAACTAGAGAACAGAAGAGCGCGGGACTCGCTGCGTTTTACTACGCTAGCCTGCCTAACAGATCGTGCATATAGTAGTCGCGGAATACCCAACGGAACAAGTTGGGCTTGAAGCAGGACTCCACCGGGTCTCTGGTACCCTCCTTCACGTGCTAGTGCACGAAGCCGTCTCATAGCGTATACGCACGTAGATTTCTAGAAGCAGAAGGGTGTATACATCAACCCGAATCGGTTATGAGACTTGACTACCTGATCTGTACGGTAGTATACAATGCATTTCTACAAATCGGTAGAGCTCGTTTTGGATCTCGTCTCCGCGAAAACAGATGGCGGATCCAGCGGGAGCTTCGCTGAAGTTCCGAAACCTAGACGCGGCCAATGAAATGAAAGATGACAAGAATATAACAACATCCAAATATACGAAGTTGCGTCCTCGAACGCTATTGGCGCCACGCATCTTCCCCGTAAATTGGAGACGCTAGTTCATACTTCATACAATACATACGTCCTCACCGTCGCTGTCGCCGACACGCTCGGGTCTCTTGTTATGCTGCTTCGGTAATATGAGCCACGAGTAATGCCTGAACTCAGATTAGGGTTCGAAGCCGCAGACTGGCCGGCACGCCAAGTTCATGATCCATGACGGCATAGACGACATCGTCTTTTGTACGTCACGACCTTAGCTACGTATGGTTCATGTTCAAACTTAGGTGCCTAGGCAGTCGTTGGATTTCGCCCAGATCTGCACCTCTACACGATCAAGTCCTAGACCGGTAGAATTGTAAAAATAAATTGGTTATAATCTAAAGGCGGATAGCTGCATCAATCTGCGTCGGCACGATGGCTTCAAGCCAATGGGCAAATTTAGCAAGCAGGAAGTATGTCTCTTGGGAGGCCGCGGGCGTGGAGATGATCCCGCCTGGGGAAGAGGAGGACATGAGAGCCGTGATCGCGCAGATCGGCGAGATGCAACGGCGCCAGTATAACAAGACACGGCATTGCTACGGTGGTACTCACGCTAGAACGCAAGGCATCGTCAAGGGAAAGCTTGTCGTACCAGGAGATCTGCCCAGGCATCTAAAGCAGTCCGAGCTCTTCCGCGAAGCCGGAGAATACCCCGTGGCATGCCGCTACAGCTCAGAGCCGGGCGATCCAGGTCTTGACGCAGGTGTTTCTAAACGCACCGAGCTACTAGCAAATTCTGACACTGCGAGCAGGACCGCATTGCCCAGCCGCGAGGTTTTGCTATGAAGATCTTCAACGTGAGAGGAGAGATGTTCGACGCCGGTCGAGACTATTCGACCCAAGACATCGAGTTTAACAGCACGCCGATTATCGAGCTTGCCGACGCCAAAACGACCAGGGAAGTTTTAGGCATTCGTCTGATGTGCGATAACGACAAAGCGGAGATGCATAGGCGCTTAAAAGAGCGGCCCGACTACGAGCTCCAGGTCTCGCGGGACAAGGCCCCAAACAAGCATCTCGAGTCGATGCGGTGGTATTCGCAGACCGCCTATCGCTTTGGCGACTACATTATGAAATATCGGCTCGTTCCGTCCACGGAAACGCAAACAAGGCTGGCCGAGAAGAGAGTGAAGCCGGAAGACGCCGACGATATCTTGCACCGATGGCTGCAATACTTTCATCACAATTACGACGCCGAGTTTTTGTTCCAAGTGCAGCTAGTCGAAAACTTGAGCGAACAGCCCGTCGAGTATGCCGGTCTCGCGTGGGACGAGAAGAAATACCCCTGGCAGCCAGTTGCCGAGCTCGTCATTCCTAAACAGGAAAGTTTTAGCTACGCGAGAAAGTCGTTCTGGGAGGATCACATGAGGCTTGATCCGGTGGGTACTATTCAATTTCCTCGTCTCTGCCGCCAAAGCAAAATGTCCCCCTCCCCTCCCTCTTCCGAACCAGGGATCGTATGCAATATAATTCAGCCCTCAAGTCCGACCCCACGGATCGTCCAAGCGAATAATTGCTAACCGCAAACGCAGTGGCATGGCCTCGTAACGCTTCAGCCCTTGGGAAGCTCAAATCGCTTGAGAAGAGTTTGTAAGTAAATGTACACAACAGTAAAGCACGGCGTGGTTCTCACAAAAGTTTCGGTAGTATATCCAGCCAGCAGCGCCTTGAGACGAAAAATGAATGCAAGGCAGGAAATCAGCGTCAGGAGCATCGACGAGATTCCAGGTTGATTCGTACGCTCGATCAACTAAACCGAGAAACGGGATGGAACTGTGGCGTCGAGGGTTGCATTCGGCGCTTGCAAAATTTACATAAGAGACAAGCCAGAGCATGCAGGTCGGATGGGATGATCGCGAAACCGTCCGTTACCGGCCGGTATATACACAACACCAGAATGCGGGTAGATAGTATGCGTACGAGTTTTCCCACCAGGCAGAAAACGCTACGTAGGTAGAATACCATACGCGAACAAAATTTGGGCCTACAGATTAAAGACGTGGCAATATGTAGCAGAGGGCACGAAGATAATATTTTACCAATTCAAATTTATAACAAGAGCATAACAAATTATAAGCCGAGCACATAGCAGAGCATAGCAGAGGGAGAGCACCCGATCGCAATTTGTACCCCCCGGCCCCCCGGCCCCCCGAGGTAGGACTGAATATAAATAGTCGCCACGTATCTGAGTGGTGTGCTTCGGGTCGACAGCAGAGAAATAGTGTTGAGAAGAGTATGCGAAGTGATACGGGCACGCCGGCCGTGAGGATATCGCATCGAGGTTACATCGGGGCCTGGTTATATATAGATAAACGCCCGCGCGAAGTTCGCAACCGACAATTGACGAGGCAGAGTAGCATGCATGGGCCGAAGACCGCTTTGCCGACTGCGTCCTTCCTGTTCGGCAGATTGGCCGACAGTCGCCGGGAACCGGGAACCTCGCTCCAGCCCAACGCGTCCCATGCCCCCTTAAAGTCGGATGCGCGGGATCGCTGGTGCGCCTCAGCCCTTCCCGCTGCTTATCCAGAGAGCGGCTGTCCGACCATCCGAAGCTCGCTGCATCGACCCCCGAGCTGCGCGAGAAAGAATGTTCTGGCAATTTGCCGTCTTGGGCAGCCCGCAGGAACCCTACGTCCTGGCTCGGGTGTCCGGGGTTCGGCGTTGCACGCCAAGCCGGCAGAGCAGACTTCGCATCGGGAAAGCTTTGGCGTTTTGCCTACCTCTCTGGCGGACAGCTAGCGAATAACTAGGTAGCCAGCTGTCGCGGTTTGTACCGGGGGCTTGTGGCCGCGATGCGCTGCCGTATTGGCATCTTATAAGGGCGATGGCCACTGGAATGGCGATTGATTAATCAAGCCCAGTTCCATCTAACCCCTGAAATAGAATATAACTAAGCCCCATCTATCACGGACTACCAGCGGCTAGATCCATTCCTCTTCCCGAATCTTAAGCGAGATGCTTCGTCCGTCTCGAGGAGCTGCGAGGGGCTGCCGATGGGCTTCTTTCTGGAGGCTCTTTGGCGGGAAATGCGGTGTATCCCCGGGATACCCCCCGGAGAACGACTCTAGGACCGGCTCCCCAGGATGGTTTCCCCTTTAACTCGTTAAATAAAAGAACGATGCTCGGCAAGTAAGTTTAGACAAGGCTTGGCTATGAATCCCATGGTTATCCCTGATGCCTAAGCTAAAACCGAGATACCTTGCTCCGGCGGCCAGATATTCTATGCCGCATTTGGGAGCTGGATCTCGAGTTGCGGGATAGCTAATTCCGGGTGCAGCACTTACAGATAGCGAGAAAATATGCTGAGGCGTAACCTTTTTATTGTTTATATCAATGCGTATTTATAAACGAGTAATCCTGCTATGATACATAAAAGACTGGTCGTTCTCTTCTTCATCCGATGCTAGGGACTGTGTGTCAGAGATGAACTTCATGAATTGAAGCGGAGTCCTCCCAATCTGCCCTCTTAGTCTATCTAAACATATTGAACATGTCCTTTGTTCTAGATGTCTCATCTATAATCCTGACAGCACTGCTAAGATAAAATCAATGACCAAACCCTAGCCTAGTGTCTCCGTAAAGCTTAAGAGCCGCTAGGTGTTCTCGTAAAACCCATTCACGACTAACCGGAGGTACGACACCGCCTGTCTGCTTTAGCCAGCTATTGAGGTTGAACCTGACTTCTATAAAGAGTGCCGTCTTCGATACCTCTTATCCTGGTGCAATTCTTCCGAGGGCCTAAACAAATTCATTGGTGCCGATATAGTTTTCGACGGGCTTATGTCTCACGAGCGTCTTCCAGAACTCTTTGGAATCGGTAAGACAGCTCTTAACCAATTCGGCGTCGTGAACAGGGTAAGTTATTGTACCGCCTCCTTGTATAGGCTCCTTAAACGAAGCAGGGTTAGCGTTGTCGATCGCGTTGATCAAATTTTCAAGTTTGCAAAATGCAGAATGTAAATGTCTCGTCAAATCTGTCAAACAAGCCTTCAAGTTGTAGAAGGTGCGTTAGTGCACTTCTGACGCCTCAAAATTCAGATGTCAGGGCGGTTTAGTATTATTTAACCCTGTACATTTCCACCTCTCGTTCCTATATTGTCCAGATTCGAAGGTGAAGCCAGCGATTAGGCGCTTATTGAATGCTATGGCGCTCGGTTTTCCTAGTCCATCGGTCCCGTACGCCCAGCGAATCTCACTGACAATAGCTTCCAAAGCTTTAGGACAGTGTCTGCTGTCCACCTGCTTAATGATCTCTCTAATACCTGTACTATCCTCGGGCTTAACCAAGGCACGAAGTTCAGGATGTAGAGAACCATCCTCGGGATAGGCAGCGGGATCTTCAGCTCCGGGACCCTGTGCGGGTGCGGGTGCAGGGTTTTCGGCCTCGGGATCCTGTGCCGGTACAGGGTAGGATCTTCAGACTCAGGATCCTTTGCGGGTGCGGGATCGTCGGTCTGTGAAGCGGGTAAAGGATATTGGACTTCAGTAGATGAGCTTGCAAGTTCAAGTCTCTGATTTGCTATTTCTTTAGCAAGTTCAATCTGGACTTGTCTGTTCGATTCTTTCAGCGACATCCCAGCAAATCTAAGAATAAGTTGGGAGCGAGGTAGAAGGCTATCGGCAACAGGTTTGATCATTAGAATTGCATTGCGCCCACTGTAGGAAATTGTGGTGAGGCTAACATGCTCATCTTCAGCTCAGTTGTATGATAAGGTGTGGATATATGCCACGTCTTGCAAAGTAATCAATTTAAAAGTAAGATAGGGACGATTAATCTCCCATTTGCTGTAAAGTATAGTGTTTGGTTGGTTATGGTGAGAGATGAAGCGAATGCCGACCAAAATAGTTGAGGGGGGAATGAGTAGCAGTATGGCGGTATAAAGGTTTTGATTATTATTGTTTAGGTTAGGTTAGGTTAGGTTATATTTGAGTAAGATAGGAGAAAAGAGTTAGAGTAGGAAAAGGGAAGAGGTAGGAAGTATGGTATATTGTTTAGTTGTGAAAAAGGTAAAAAGAAGTGAAAGTTATTGGTGTGCTACGGTCTGAAGATATATTGTAAATTTGGCGGTGTAAATGTGTAATGTTTGTTTTCGGCAGAATTAAAAGGCAAGTGCGAAGGAAAGTGCGAAGGAAACTAGGAGGGTAAGTACAAGGGAAAGTGCAAAAGAAAATATAAGAGCAATTGTAAAGGAAAGTACGAGGTTGAATTACCGTATACTTTATGGTACTTACCTAGATACCTCTTAAGGTATATACAAGTACCTACCTACATAGTAACTAAGGCAACTAACTACCTTTTATAGCAGCTGCAACCCATACAGTTACACTTGCAATGTAAGTCCTCCCCCGGTGATATGTACAGGTAAATAGCAGCTACAGCTTGTTAATTTTAAAAATTCCTTCCCGAAGATAATTTTATATTTTACTAATGATAAAGTTCCTACATAGTAGGTACCTCTTTACATTTCTTAAGTATGTCTTTTTGTACCTAAGTAGTTAATATTAAATTCAAGTTAAGTTTAATGATTTTAGCCGTTGTAACTAATATAAAGTCCCGCAAACCTACGGTATTCTTAACAGGTTTACTCGTACGCAAGCTATTGCTAACGAAACAAAGGGTTAGTAATTTTAGCGTTATAGTCTCCGTTCTTGGAAACTACGATGGCTGCAAAACCCCCTAATTTATTATATCGTAATTAGTCATAGGATTGCGTTACGCTTTTACGATACTTTGCCACTTATCACGATTGCTACAAGAGTCACTGTATTATCTACCTAGCAGTGCTCCAAATAACATCATGACTTAGTACCTGAGTTAAGACCTTTATGCTTTTGTGTATACAAACAAGGCCTTGCAGCTTTGCTAAAGGGGTATGATGTTATAGGTTCCCCAGAACATTATCATCAATGAATGACACCTTTTGGTTTCAGCCTCGTAATAGTATCAATTCTTGATAATTTCAGGTAGCTTACCAGCGCACCTAGTTCCTTGACATGCCAAGTAGAAGACCAGGAGTAAGCTTTTAGTTATCAACTTAGATCTTAAGCTCTCGGGGCTATTACTAGGGTATAAATATAGCTAGTTAGAAATAGGCTTAGAATTATAATACTACACAACTACTATTCAGCAGCGAAGCTGCTGCTTCTAGTATTTACTCTACGTATGACATGGATCAAGGGTTCCTTCTAACAGCCATCAAGCTATATCGTATTGAACTAACAACAAAGACATCTTGGCACGGACTAACATGAGATAGAATTGGGTTTAACTAACTGTATCCCAGAGTCTCTAATTATAGCCAAAAACTAGAAAAGGCTAGGCATGGCCCCTAGAAGTGATACTATAAGTGGATTTGTTTGCAGTCCGAAACAGTATTTGATTGAGATCAGTTAGACTTAAATGTATAACCACTATCACTCTACGAGAACTTCCAATGGTTTCGGGTATACATAAACGGCAATAACTTGACCAGTCGTATATAGAAGCACCGTTTTATTGCAATGATGAGAGACGGATTTGTGGCATGTGTGTCAGTAGGAAGTGACTAGTATCGAAAGATGGGCCAACATAACACAGCAAATGGATGCAATTCTGTACTTAAGGTTGTACCTATCTGTCTTTGAATCAAAAAAGCACTATTGACTTATAGTCGTTCGTTGTAGGGCTAGTCATTCAATAAATTTTGGCAGGCCCTTTTACAAACGTGGCATTGCCTGATCCCGTGTTCGCGATGATAGGGACGTCTTAGGTCTATATACAGGTAGAATTAGATAGACCCCTTATGTTCTAACCTATATTTAATATTTACCTAGCTAGTTACCTAGAATCTTGGACAAAACTATCGTTTCCGCTGTTTTGAGATCTCTACCAAGCTATACCTCAAACCAGCCAACATTGTTAGAATAGATTTCCCTGAACGAAACCATCCGCGGGCGATTAATTAGTATAGTTTCCTTAGATCGGCTCGCGCGGTATAACCAAGTAGCATGTGCCACTCTACACACCCGGTGGGATTTGCTCCAGTTGTGGTGAGATACCCATACTCTCTTCCATGAGGTATGTTCTCCGGGTTACTAACCTTTCCATGGAGCACCTGAGGCACCGGTTGCAATAATGCCCGTATAATTTCAGGATTCCTAAAGCTTTTCAAGCTAGAATCTCACCTTCGAGTATCACAAATGCCAAGAACCGAGCCACGACCCGGAGACAAAAGTTCACGACTGGGACGGCGAAGAGCGCTGCGAAGCATATATTAATTTTCGGATGAGATGCTCTACTGGGAAAGTTTAGTTTACAAAGGAACTCTATTGCCAATGAGGGGAGCTGGTAACGCGGTGGATAATACGTGGTAAAATACCCTTGGTTTTGTTATGAGAACACATTCGCCCTAGAATAACATCTCTTAGCTAGGCAACCTAGAAGATCTAAGAGCTTGGGTGATCATTTGTGCCTCTTATGGTTAGATTTGTAGATACCGGGATTAGTATCCTTACACGACGTATGCCCCTAGGGAGGCCAGGCACGGCGTTAAACACACATACATACACGAGTCGCAGCCATAGGGACTAACCTAGAGAACTTGCAAAGATGCGAAATGATATTTTTTGTCATTGTACAGTTAAGAAATAAATATTGGAAACATTCTTGTAGATGCTTCTGCTATAAACTCAACGTAAATTCAATGTAAACTCAAGGATATACGTCTCGATATGGTTATGAAGAAAGGAGATTAGAGCGTGAAAAGCAACCTGATTCCTAAGCATGGATGTAAGCACGTAACTAACTCGACGACTTGCAACACCCCGCGATCCTCAAACCGTCACACGGACAACCGTTCTACTGAACAGATACGATTGCGTTGGCCGCCACGCCCACCTAGTGATCAGGCAGGTGGTATGGCCACTGATATTCATCTCATTACCGACTTCAAGAAAAGCGAAGACGTGATACCAAGCCTTCGCAAGTTTGTAAAGTTGGGGAGATTCTGAATCAACTGCGAATAAAATATTAGCAAAATTAGCAACTAAGAGCCAACGCTCGTCTCATGTCGCCGGAAGGGATTAGTCTCCGGTATAGTATTCAACCGAATCGCGTCTGGTTTATTCGTTCTATTGCATCTAGTTAAACTGCATCTAGTTAAACTGCGTCTAATTTATGCGTTGTATTATATTTATTCGTTTCGTTTAGTTACTGGTACAAATTAGCAGATAAACTGGTAACCATCTCGTCTCCTGCGCTGCCCGCTACCATTTTTGCCTTTTGCCTTTCTCCGTCATCACGTAGTGTGCGTGCGGGTGCGGGTGCGGGTGCGCGTGTTCGACATCCGTTATGCGAAATGCGTATGCCCAGCGGCTTAGCAAGTCGTCTTCTCCGCTGCTGTAACTTTTCTCTAACCGTAGTCGCATCGATGCTCGTCTGTGCCTCAGGCCAGGTACGTGTCACGTGTTCCCGGCTCCATTCAAGCTGTATCCGGGCCCCCAAGCCCGGGCTGCCTCCCCACGGTATTCCGGATCGTCCCCCTCGCCCCTGACCCGCTTCTCGCCTCTGTGCTTACATTCTCGGTGCAGTTCCGAGTCTCCAATCCCTAGTACTATAGCTTCCCCCGCCTCAACGCTACGATCGAAGGCGAGAAGCTCCTCGACCGATGGGTATTCGGGGTGGCAAATTAAAAAGAAACTCTGCGCCGCATAAAATTAGCCAAGAAGCTAAGGGTTTCCCGAGATGATTTCCAAATCTTCCACTTCAAGGTTGGGCGACTGAAGATAGTTTCGGCCGTGTCGGGCTTTTTTGCCAACTATTATTACTCTGTAGATGAGGGCCCAGCCCTTGAGGACAATCCTGCCAAACCTATTTGCAGGGGGGTCCGTCTACACCGAAACCCGCGACCGGCGTAGCAGCTCCCAGAGACGGGCTTCACCACCCCCCCCGCGTCTGCTACTAGAGGCAGTTCCCAAGACGGCCCTCCTAACCTGTCTCGAGGCGTAGACATGATGGTGTCGGCGGGAGCATGCTGTTTCGGGTACTCCGTCCAACCCCGAAGAGTCGACCTGCCGTAGGCTACGAGAGAGATTATCAACGCCTTGGACCCAGAACTACCAAGGCCCGAGGGCCAATATACCACATGATGGGTTACCTGGAGCTCGGGACAAAAGGAGGTCCAGGTATTGGGTTGCTTGCCCGAGGCTCGACTTGGCCAACTCGTTACGTCTATCGAGCCGTGCGGCGATTTCCACTTGTTAGCGTCGCACCGGCACCGCTGGGCAGAGCTGATCGCGGATTCGTCCAGCATGGCGAATACTATGCTCGATGATCTCATCTCCGAATGGGATGAACATGTGGCCCAGCAGGGAAAACGAACGACCAGCGGACACGATACAAGTTTAAGATATGATGATGGCGACCACCATGTGAAGATAGAGTTGGACGAAACGGAAGCAGTAGATGATCGCGTTGATGCCCCTGGCTTCTAGTGTAGAATATACATGATACGAAATGACATTATATGTTGTAACAAGGTTACCTTTTTGGCGCGGTGGTGAAATCCAGCATCTCGTTACTCACTCCTCTTGCCTCTCCGTCTATAGCCTACACTGATCCGACGCGTCCTTTCTGCCATCCCAAGCCTTCGTTAAACTCATTTATACGTTCCGCTCCGCGGTGACCGGAGCCGCGCGATCGGGAACAAGACACGAGGTCGAAATAAACTATTTTCGCTCCAGAAATGTGGAGAACATATTTGTCCAATCAGATTCCTACGAGTTCGAGCACTAACGCCGAGGAGCGGCCAGACCTACAACCACACGGCGTATAGGTGAAATATAGAGTGTATTTCACTGTATATTTGATTGGTAACTTGATGATGATGTAGCTGGGTGTCTGATCAGGAGAGGCGGATGTTTCTAGGACCTTTATATGATCGGTGTGCAGCTATAGATTACATGGTAGACTACCCTCCGTAACATTTCACCCGCTCAATATGTATATGAATCTCATCAAATCCTTACAGCTAGAAGGCCATTATCCAGCTTCTTGATTTCCATGTAGATCCGGGTATAAGACTGACGACAAGGTTATTGGCGTATGATGAAGTGGTAGTAGCAGATGTCGTGTGCTAGGTGGGCAGGTCTCTATCAAAGCGATGTGCGAAGTGGGAACGGTGGTGCATTATATTGCAGTATACCCGGGAGATGGCAACTGCCTCAGGCGTAGTATGCAACTACCTATGTGAGCATATTGATGAGCTTAAGCTTTTACTAGCGCGTTACATCAATGTAGCGCGCCAGAGTGGAAGGCGGGCATGATCACAGAGATGCTTTTTTGAAAACTGAAAGTCATTTTAAGTACCTGGGTAGTTACTTACATAATGTCAGCAGAGATGTACCACTCTGTTTCTGTCCCCTGACACTGTAACTGCTTCTATTTGCGGACTCACTTAGTGATAAGTCAAACCACCCTTACTGGGGCCACCCTAGTGGGGGCCACCCATTTCCCATACAAAATCAACGATTTCGCATATCTGTATTTAATTCAAGA